CCTATATCTACGGGAAAACTCATAAGTTAGAAACCCTGAATAAAATTATGACATTTACTTTTGACAATATATTTTTTTACATGTTACTTACTAAACTGACTCAACATCCCTGACAATTTACGATTTTTAATGTAGGTTTCTATTAGCCCGATGAAGCTGCCAAATCAAACTAAACTAAAATCAACTGCTTTTTTTTTTGCTGGATGAGCCACTGTTGGCCTATGACATCAGCTTCCTTCCACTCAAGTTTTTTTAAGTAAAAAAATGACAAAAGAGGATACCTACCTTCGCCTGATTTTTTCTCCGCTCTAATTCGTAATCGAAAGGGTGGTAGATTTAAAAAAAATATCTGACTATCGATACATGAAATGTAAGTTTCTTTTGTCGATGAATAAATGATTTTAATTTGATTTTGATTTTAATATTGATATAACTACGTTAGGCGGTATAACTGGTCGGGACAAGAGTGTCTAGCTCGAAAGCCGAATTGTTCCGTGGGCAGAAGGCCGTTGGAAAATACGTGCTCTTTGAGCCTGTTTAACAAGAGCCGCTCGTAGAGCTTCCCCAGGCAACTGAGGAGGCTGATGGGACGATAGCTAGAGGGCTGGTTGGCTGGTTTTTCGGCTTGCGAATGCCGATAACCGTGGCTTGTTTCCAGTCGTCCGGAAAGGAGCAACTGGAGAGTAGAGTGTTGAAAATGGTCGCCAGTAAACAGATAAGCGGCCCAGGGAGAGCTTTGAGAATTTTGTTACTGATCTTATCTGGGCCCGGGGCGGATTTCGGTTTTAAATTTTTATAATATCTTGGACCTCTTCGGGGGTCACTGAACTTAAAGGATCGCCTTCCGGTGGAACCGCAGCCCTAGTCTCGATTACAGGGTCCACCTCCGTTAGGTGGACTGTATCGGTGTGTTCGCGCGATGGCGTACATTGCTGCTCTAGGTTGTCCGCAAGGCATTCGGCTTTTTCGGAGTCATCTAGGGCTACTGAAGCGCTGTTAGGTCTAATTAATGGTCTAATTAATAAGCAAGAGATTCGCGGGGGTCTGCTTTCAGACTGCGGGCCAACCGCCAGTAGGCGGTGTGCGATGGCTCGATGTCCTCTAGGAGAGTGTCCCACGTTGTATGTCGGTGTTCCGATACACGATCTTTGACTTCTAGCTGAAGGCGTCGAAGTAGGGTTCGGTTCGATTCCAATCGGTATCGGTCGAAGGCGCGTTTGGCTGCATTTTTCTGTCTAATTAGCAGTCTTAGGTCGGGCGGAAAGTTAAACCGTCGGTCGCCCGACAGTTCCACCGTCCGTTCCGAGTCTGTGACTGCGGAAGTAATGGTTTCTCGGAGACTTGCTATCGCTCGATTTGCGTCATCGAACGTAGATATCGTCTCGGGTAGTTCGATTAAGTCCTGGGGGTCAAAGGCCTTGAGTTTGACCTCAAGACGATGCCAGTACTACGGATTTGGTCGGAGGGACCGCGCCGGCGTTCTGGACCAGTTCACACAGGACGGGCCTGTGATCTGAATCTAGTTCGTGGATTGTCTCTATCGACTCGATGTCGAGCGAGACCTACTTGAATAACATATCTAGGATACTCGGTGTCGCATGTTGGTAGTTGTCCACCGTAGGATACCTAGTGGGAGTCGCAGGAGCGATTATGCTAAAGTTTAAATTATCGGATAAGCTAAAGAGATGCTTTCCGTTGTTATTTGGGATGCTGTGGATGTCCCATGAACCGTGTTTGCAGTTTAGATCTCCTGCAATTATCACGGAAGGGCCTAAGTTGAGTAGCGTAACTAGGTCGCTTTGTAATAAGGTTTTGTTCCCCGAGAGGTAGGCTGAGACTAGTACAAGCGGCCTGTGGCCGGTGAGCGCTAACCTACACGCGGATGCCTCTATTTGACTTAGCTCTGGAATATCGAGCGGGCAACAGTGCAAGGACCGTTTATAATAAATTAGTGTGCCTCCCAGACGGTTTACTAACCGGTCGTGGCGGACAATATTGTAATTTGCGATTCTGGGATCGCGTACACTAGGTTTCAAGAATGTCTCTTGCACTAGAAAAATATCTATGTTATAATCGCGAAGGTATTCCGCGATTTCGTCCCTTTGACCCTTTATGCCGTTTGCGTTGAAATACGAAACAACCAGAGCCCAAGGTTTTGTTCTACCTGCGGTTGTACTTCCCATTAAGGTGTTTTTATGGGTCTAATTAACGACGCGGCGGAGCGCGGTTTTATTGCGCGGACTATTGTCTTTTACGGTTGGCTCGTAAAAGCCCAAAGGGCTTCCACAAGCGTTTTATGTTGGCTAATTGCCCTAAGACGCTCGTGGCCAGATGTAGCGGCCGCTATTTTAGCGGACAATACGGCGAGTTCCTGCCTATTGATCCTATCTAATAAGCTGCAAATATTAGCGATTTGCGCGAATGGGTCGTCCTTGTTTTCCGCGAAAACTGACGGCTGAATGCACCTGCACCTGCGGCCGCGGCGCCGTTTGAGAGGCGGGCAGCTGTTGTGCGATCGGTCGTGAGGCGACCGGGATTACCGGCGCGGTTACCTGCGTGGCCACCTGAGGTTTCGTCCAGGCGTTTGTGACGGGTACGGGCGCGGGAATGAATCTAACGGGCGCGGGTTTGGGCAACGTGGATTTCGCGGGAGATTTCCTCGCGGGAGTTTTCGGGGCCTTTGTAGCTGGCCGGGGGCCGGTGGCGTTACAGTTTACGCAGTCCGGTGGATCTGCGCAAACTGTCGGCCGGGTGCCTTGGTAGTGCCGTGGTCACCGGTGCATTTGACGCACAGTTTGACGAAGCAGTTATTGGCCGGTGGCCAAAATGCTGACAGTTGTGGCACTGTGCCACAACACCTGACTTACGCGGGGGCTCGATGACTAAGTCACTGAGCCCACAGACCCTCTTCAGGTTGAAGATGGCCTTACCTTCCGGGGTAGGATCAAGTTCAACCATTACCATGTCCATAGGGACACGGATTCTGGGGTGTCTGAGGCGTCGGACGGCATGCACAGCGTATCCCTGAGTGCGGATGTCGGTTTTCGCCTTGTCGACATCCGACTCTTTGGGGACGCCCTTGATAACTACCCGAAGCTTGCGTTGTTCGGGCAACGAGTAGGTGTGAAAACCTATCTTATTTTCGCGGAAGTATTTCGTTACGCGGCGGAAATCGTCCGTTGTGTCAAGGTATACGCGGATACCCATTCGTGTATTTTTCGACTGGGGGTCGCGGATATTGTGGCGTTCAAACCACGAACAAATTTGGTGCCACTTAGCCTTCTCCTGAACGATGATGGGTGGAGGAGGCTTTATTTTTCGCTCGGAGGCGAATTCGGGCATCGGATTTGCCGTCGTGGCCGCCTTTTTAGCGGGCGTCGCGGTTGGACGGATCGATGAGGCGGCCTCGCATTCGGGGTCGCTGTCGGTAGCGGGGCGTTTCTTGCCCTTTTTACGCGATTTAACGACGGTGAAGCCGTCAGCGTTCGCGTTTTCAGCGGGGGTCGTTTCGACCTCCATGTCCGATCCACCGTCCGATTGTGAGTCGGGTACGACGAAGCGAAAAGAGGTCGGGTTTGGTTGCACGGAAGGTACTACGGGTGGGTTCGCGTTAGCGGATGCTGACGCGACGGGGGCTTCTAAGGTCGCGGAGGGCGACGGGGTAACGGACGCAGACGGCGCGGGCAATGGCGGCGGCGCGAGTTCAGCTACTTGCCTATGCTCGGCTGCATAGGCAAGATAACGTTCCCACATAGCGGGGCATTCTCTGCGTACGAACTCCTCGAAAAGGGAGCCCATCGCGACGTAAGGGCCTTTGGGGCTTGTAGCCCCGCCGGCGTGTGTGAGCTAAATAAGCCTCCCCACCTTGCGGCAGGGAGGAGTGTGCCTAAAAATAACAGCTAATTTGCCTGCGCTTTAGGTGCGCTAGGGTGGGTACCTAGCTGTCGCCTATTGCAACAAGCACACAGTAAATAATAATAAATGAAACAATGCCGCCTCTGAGGCGAGAAGTGTGTGTAGGATTCTACTTACAAAACAGGAACCTGCCTACGAGCACAACACTACGCTAACACTAATCTACTGCACTATTTGCACAAGATTTAAATTGCAACCGAGGTTGCGAGTGGCGTCTAATTCGGGTGGCATGTGCCCTCCGTCTTAGAGAGACGTCCGTTCCGTACGAGAGCACGAAGCGGAATAAAATTAGGGACCTCGGTGTCTAGTGCACGACGACAATGCCTCCTTGCGTGCACCACCGCAACTCAAACCTCTGCAGACGGGAGATATACAATTTGACTAACAAGGTGAAGTTATGAACGCGGCTTGGACCGCAAATTGCGCATTACTTGCGCTGTCTTACGTGAAAAAGATGACGAGACGAAAATAAAATTAATAATTAACGATGTCACCATATTCAAAATAATCAATCAATTCGCGGAAACAATAAATTTTTGATAATCATTTTTTTTATTTTATAATGCCTTGAATTGAACGATCCTATGCGGACTCCCCCTTTAATTTCACCAATTACTTTCAGTGCCTTACTTGTGCAAATGCGCTAATGTCATAAATCTACCGACTATTCGTATATAATAACATTGAATTAAAAATCTGGGAGTCCTGGGACACAAGAGTATAGTTAATTCGTTAGTGGTGGCCGCGAGACGCAATGAACCAATACGTGTGTTTGCGTTTATATATCATCTGGATCGTGTATTACCTCATAGAATAGATCAGTGTAAGCTATTGATTACATTATTATCGATGTAAGGCTTTTCTTCATTTACTTTTTAAGAATCTATGATTTACTAAATATGCATTGCATAGTCTGTAACATGCAAACTGTCAAAAGAAACAAGCGTGAGCCGTTCGTGCGTGATATTGTTTGCCGATTCAAGTCATTTTTCCGCGCAAGAGATAGAGATATTGGTTAAATTTATATTAATTTAATTTCATTTCCTACAAAAAAGCTTAAACCTAGTAATAGGAAGACTTTTACTATGGAGTTTCTTGAATATAATGATGTTTCTGCTGAAATAAAAGGAACTATGGTAAGACAAAACCTAGTGTAATGTTGTTGTTTCTTTCGTAGGATTTTATGTTTTCTTTCTTTTTTCAGGTTCCTGGTCGGCTAAAAATGACTGATCAAAATATCATTTTCAAAAATAGTAAAACCGGCAAAGTTGAACAGATTTCAGCCAGTGATATAGATTTAGTAAACTTTCAGAAGTTCATCGGTTCTTGGGGTCTAAGAATCTTTCTAAAAAATGGCACCTTGCACAGATATGGTGGATTTAAAGAAGGGGTAAGAGGCAACCCTACATGTTTAAAAAAGTCATAAATTTAGACATTTTACGAATGTTTTTCTAACTTTTGCTCATCATTTTACTAATCTTGGACAATTAAAAGTAGTATATATAGACAAAGCCGTTGTAAACAATCACGACGAATTATATGAGGACTAGTGTTGGATTTGTGTGTGAAACTCTGTGTAAGATATGGGAGATTTGTACATGTGTGCAGGAAAAAATGTTTTGAAAGTGAGTTGCGAGTGTTGTAAGTGCAAGTGTTGTGTACAACACTACTTACGTGAGATATACTTTCGGTGAAAAGTTTTATTATTAGGTATTATTTTGCTCTTTGTCTTGATTCTATGAATTTTTATGGGATGTTTGTCAGCTATGTTTAGTCTGATTCCTTTCAAATAGTTCATGAAGTATCATTATACTAATTAATATTTCAATAGTTTGCCATCAACCCAAGCTATGTAGACCACTTTAAATAAATTGTCCAGATTATGCAAAATATTGATTGCAAGCAGCGCAATGTTGTGTTTATACTTTTTATTGGTCCTAGGTAAAAGTTAAAAACACTAAAATTGTTTTATTGTTTGAGTTCCATTGAAGTATCTTTACGTAATTTTAATTTTATTTTTAATAATATTTGTACAAATGATTATACATAAATATTATAAATTATTCCCTGAATTAATCTTGCTTTGTTTTGTGTTCAGTCTTCATATAAAATTTTAATGTGGTCTGTAATAAAGTTTTATAGAAATCTTACTTTTGTTCTTTTTCACATTTTTAGGAACAGGAAAAAGTCGCAAAATTCTTCAAGTCAAATTACAACAAAGACATGTTAGAGAAAGAGTTATCTCTCAAGGGGTGGAATTGGGGCACGGCTAAATTTAATGGCGCAGTGCTTAGCTTCAATGTTGGTTCTAACACTGCTTTTGAAATTCCATTGCATTATGTATCACAATGCAATACTGGGAAGAATGAAGTGACACTTGAATTTCATCAGGTATTTTTTAATTTACAAAATTATTATAACATAAAAATAATAATCATAAAATGACTATCAGAATCCTGATGGCTGTGAAACAGGTACAGAAGCATATGGGGAAGTACTAAGTTTGCCTTGATAAGAATGTCCCAACATAGGATAAAATAGAGGGTGGAGGAAAGGATGGTCTATGATGAGCAGTGATATGGAGCAGAGTCATGAGAACAATGATTATAAGGCTAATATTTCATTGTAACAAGTAATATTTAGGCTTACCCACTTTATAAGAACAGAAAAGACATGTAACTTTTTTATATAGTATAAGAAAAAAAACTTATCATATGTTTTGGAATTCATTTAAATTCACAATTGAGGAGCAACAAAACAAACCATATCAAGATAAAATTGTGTATATATATATGTAGCGTGTCGTTATCATCGCGACAATAAATGAACACACGTCTAATGCTACTTGCCAATAATCTTAAAAAAATATTAACATTAAACAAAATCCCTAAATAAAAAAAAGTATTTTTCAAACAAACTAATTAAGTAAAAAAGAAACAAAATTTGTAACATCCTATACAACTCGCGCCACAGCGTCGCATTACAAGCGTCTCCTTCTAACAGTATGTTTTGTCTTTTTTAAATTCATTCAACCCATTCATATGCTTTGTGACCTTTACAAATGAACTTTACGTTACGCTTTTATAGGTAAGGGTGTTCTAAAATTCTTTGTTTTGGAAAATTTCATAACTCGGTAAATATTGATGTTTAAAGCCTTTTCTCACCTTTTCTCAATATTTCTTGCCTGAAAAGAACAGCAACGATTAAACACCCTTACTCATCGCACTCATGTTTGCAAAGGAAGAGAGAATGCAATTGAATACAAGAATTGCTTAAGAAATTATTGTGTGTCCTGTTTACACCAAAGAAAGTTTTGAAACAAAAGTTGAAGCAAGTCTTGTTCAACAGTCAAGAATTTTATGTTGTTTAAGGCCCATTTACGCGATGCCATTTTCTTGAACATACAAGAGCAATAATTGAATGCATAAATTGCGCGCAATAATTGTTTAGACCATGCAACTCATTTATTGCTTCAATTTAATTGTATACAACAGGCAAGAAACTGGCATCATGTAAATGGGCCTTTAGACCATGCAACTCCATTTATTGCTTCAATTTAATTGTATACAACAGGCAAGAAACTGGCACCATGTAAATGGGCCTTTAGATGGAGAGGCTTGTAATGCGACGCTGTGGCGCGAGTTGTATAGGATGTTACAAATTTTGTTTCTTTTTTACTTCATTAGTTTGTTTGAAAAAAATTTTTTTTAATTATGGATTTTGTTTAATGTTAATATTTTTTTATGATTATTGGCAATGGTAATAACACGCTGTATATATTTATCATGTACATCTTGAGTTCTGTTCTTAAAGAGTAAAAAAAAAAATTATATTTTTCAATGTGTTTAAACCTAAATGTGGATGAATAAAGCCAAGTCATTTAATAATATTTGTTACACAGAAAAATGTTACATACATTGATATCTTGGTTATTATGTGCTATATAAACACAGACTAGAGGCTTTATAAAATTTATCTGTCATTGTAGAGTAAGATTTTTTATTATGAACAAACATTATTCATGTTTTTTGTTTTAGAATGATGATACTCCAGTGTCTTTGATGGAGATGCGCTTTCACATTCCAACTAATGAGTTGGCAGGTGACATGGATGCTGTTGAAGCCTTCCACCAACAAGTCATGAATAAGGCCAGTGTAATATCTGTGTCTGGAGATGCAATTGCTATCTTCAGGGAATTACAGTGCCTCACACCTCGGTCAATATTTCATTTATATAAATTTAATTAAATTAGATATATCGTCTTATCATATAAACAATTCACATAATAAACATTTTAATTTTCAGTGGTCGCTATGATATCAAGGTGTTCCAGACATTCTTTCAGCTTCATGGTAAAACATTTGATTATAAAATCCCCATGTCAACAGTATTGAGATTATTTTTGCTGCCACACAAAGATACAAGGCAGATGTTTTTTGTGGTGTCATTAGACCCACCAATCAAACAAGGTCAAACTAGGTACCATTACCTGGTACTTTTGTTTGGGATTGAAGAAGAGACAAGCTTAGAATTACCATTTACTGAGTGAGTTAAACATACCTATTGTCTATTGAATTTCTATCTGGATTTAAGTTTATTCAGATCTGTACTTTACCTCAAAGCTGTAATTTCTCTTATAAAAGTTGTTGCATTAGAGCTAGTTCTATTGCTTCAGGAAAGCTGTTATCTAAATTTTTCAATGATGTAATAAATTTCAAATGATGTTTCAGAGAAGAATTAAAAGAGAAATACGAAGGTAAAATAAGCAAAGAACTGTCTGGGCCCACTTATGAAGTGCTAGCAAAAATTATGAAGGTTATTATTAATAGGAGAGTAACTGGACCAGGAGACTTTTTAGGGTAATATTAATTACTGTGAAAAGTTCCATATTTCTTACCACTTAAGAAAAGTCTTAAATTGTCAACAAAAAACTTAAAGATAATATTTTAATTTCATTAAATATTTCAGGCATCACAAGACTCCAGCTATTGCATGTTCCTACAAGGCTGCTGCAGGGTATCTGTATCCTCTAGAAAAGGGTTTCATTTATGTCCACAAGCCACCAGTACACATACGATTTGAAGAGATAGCTTCTGTCAACTTCGCCAGAGGTGGTGCTTCTTCTACAAAGTGATTATTTTCTTTTATCTTTAATCTACAATTAACTCCAATTTATCAACATAAAACTGATCATGTTTTTTGATCTTGTTAACACTCATTTGTTATTTCCAAAATAGGTTGCATTCTGTTTTTACCACGTTAAAATAATATATCTCAGATATCAAATTTATCCATTCAGAATATTGTTGTAAAAAGTTTTCAAATACATACTTTTACATACAATAATACTCATCTTTTGATTGTCATATTTCATATTAGGATTTTAAAAAATGTTACATTGTTACCTATCTACTCTCTCACATTTCATATATCAAACATACAGAGATATACTTTACACATAAATGTATTGAAAAAAGTCTAGTGTATCTAATCTTTTTATGTAGTGATACAATTTCTTTCAAAATTAACAATATATTTCAAAATATTTCAGATCTTTTGACTTTGAGATAGAATTAAAGTCTGGCAGTATCCACACATTCAGCAGCATTGAAAAAGGGGAATATGATAAATTGTTTGATTATATCACTTCAAAGAAATTGCATGTTAAAAATACTGGAAAGAATGTAAGTTTATATTCATATAACTTTCATTATGTTTCACCAATTGAGAATGTCTATATATTAAGTGTAGGCTATTGTTTATGTAGTCGCATCATAATATAATTACCTCAGATCATACAGGTTGATTGTCCAATGTAGCACTGCTCTATTGCTTTTTTTCTTTAAAACCATTGTCCTTACTTTAAAATAATGTTATTCTTTGTGTAAGGATGTTTTACAAACATAAATTTCAAGCGGACAAACACCCAGATGCGAAACAACTCTGTGGGTCACACAATTAGTTGTCCTGTGTGGGGATCGAATCCACGATCCCCGACGCCGAAGATAATATCATGGCAACTGCACAACGGAGTCATCAAATAATTTATTGATAATGTTGCTGTTTCTTCAGGACAAGGCGCTGTACGACGACGACTTCGGAGACTCGGACACAGAGAAGGAGCCAGATGCGTACTTGGAGCGCGTGAAGGCGGAGGCAAAGGAGCGGGACTCCGGGGACTCCGACGGCAGCGACGAGAGCACCGACGAGGATTTCAACCCCGACAAGGCTAACCAGAGCGACGTAGCGGAGGAGTCAGTATTTGCACATGTTATACTTACCAATCTTCCCCCTTGTGTAAACTGTTCCTCTTTCGAAAATTACTTATGGTCGACGGTGATTACTTAACATCAAAAAGAAATCTCTTTATGCTTATGTTATTTTTATATAACAAATATACTTTGGAGTTTTACAACATACTGAGCCCTAAAATTATCAATTAATATCATATTAATAATAAAAAAGTGCCATGCTCAATACAAACTAAAACATTTAGATATTAAATCTTAAAATAATCGTCAAGTTTTTTTGGATTCGCGAAATTTTAGAGGGAAGTGGAGTTGTAATATTTTATTAAATATTTGAAAGGCAAAGCTCTTTCACACAGGTTTAGGACTTGCTCTAGTTACATCTATTACAACAAATGTTTTTGAGCATCATTGTGAATCTAAACCATTCTCTAATCAACCTAAAGACACTCAATTTCATTAATATTGGTCCAGCCGTTTAGGATTTCAGTGACATACACACAAACAGAAGAATTATATCTATAAAGAAAAAATGATTTTCTTTAAATATTCTATAACTAATCTATACAACAAGAAGAAAAAGGTCCTTTTATAAATAACGCGCTTTATAAATAGCGTGTCTTTACCACCGCGACAATAAATGAACACATGTCTAAGGCTACTTGCCAATAATCATAAAAAAATATTAACGTTGAAAAAATCCATAATTAAAAAAAACATTTTTCAAACAAACTAATTAAGTAAAAAAGAAACAAAATTTGTAACATCCTATACAACTATACAATATATGTAACATACTACAACTGACTGATTCATACATTAAGAGACTTTTTCATTTGTTGCCACAGCACCGCATTACAAGCCTCTCCTTCTAACAGTATGTTTTGTTTCTTTTAAATTCATTCAACCCATTCATAATTATGCTGTTTGACCTTTACAAATGAACTTCATTAAAGTTCTTTTTTTGGAAAATTTGATAACTCTGTAAATTATGATTGTTAAAAAAATTGATGTTTTAAGAATGTAAATCTTTAATACAATTTTAAAAAGTTATCCTCTATATGTGTGTTCATTTATTGTCGCGGTAGTAAAGACACGCTGTATTGTAAAAAATAAATTTAATTTTGTCCAGCATATTATGCATTTTTAACTACTTTACTATACTTATTTTTTAAGCTCTTTAGTTATCACATATAAATACAAGTATTCAAATGTATTTGCTCCAAATTAGATATGATACCAATCCATCATCATCGGAAGAATCCGATGCATCAGCTGCTTCAAATGACAACAAAAAGGAGAAGAAGAAGGAAAAAAAACCTAAAAAGACTATAACAATCGTCAGTATATGCTTTTTATTTATATTTTTAGGCTATTACACACAAAATGAGTTTTAATTTTTTTTTCAACTAATCAGAGAATCTGTTAGAGGAAATTTTAACAATCTTAAATTAATAACGGAATCTTGATTTAATAATGTAGATTTGAAATATTTTTATAATTCAAGATTTCACTTGACCACAACCAATAAGTTTTGAAATTTCTCTATCGTAATTTTTTAAGAATGTCCCATTTTGACTAGAATGACATTTTGAACATGGAGGCATTAGTAATTTCTAAGAGTAAATAGCCCATTCTTTATTATGTTCATATATAAATACTATCTATTGCTTTTGTATTTATCACTTAGTCTGAAGCACCACGTAAGAGAAAAGAGAAATCTAAGAAACGTGAAAAGGACGCGAACGCACCGAAACGTCCAGCGACAGCATTCATGTTATGGCTGAATGAGAACCGAAAGAAAATCATTGAAGACAATCCAGGCCTCAAAGTAACTGAGATTGCTAAGAAGGGCGGTGAACTATGGCGGGATCTTAAAGATAAATCTGTAAGTGATGATGAGAAATACATTTTTTAGTATATAAAATTTTGCTATCAATGACTGTGGTTTGGTGTATCAAGAAAGAAAAGAAAGTAAAGTCTTAATCAATAACAATTTTGAGTAGGTGTTATTTGCTATTTTCATTTTAATTAACCTCTTACAAACATTTTTATAAGGTTATAAGGATTTTATTCTAATTTTTTTAGGAATGGGAAGAAAAAGCTAGTAAAGCAAAGGAAGAATATAACCAAGCTATGAAAAAGTATAAAGATAGTGGTGCAGCAGATGAGTTCAAGCAAAAGAAAAAGCAAGCAGAAAAGGACCGTAAAACGGCAGAAAAGAAGAGCAAACCTGCCCCACCAAAGAAAACTAAGAGCAGCAGTGCTCCAAGTGCTGCTCCCGGAAAATTCACCAGTAAAGAATACATTGAAGATGATGACAGTTCATCTGATTCTGATAAAGAAAAGGACAACAAAGGAAAGGAAAAGAAAAAAGACAATAAGGATGTAAGTTAGCCATTTTATATATTTTCTCAAAATTTATACAATACGTTAAAAAATCAAATTGTTGTATTATTTCCGTTTTGTTTTAAATAAGAACATTTATTTCAGAGTAAAGACTCCAAAAAAGAGAAAAAGAGCTCATCATCAGAAGCAGAAGCATCTTCAGGATCAGAAGAAGAGAGTGGCAGTGGAAGTGGCAGCGATTAAATATAATAAGTGATTTTAAGTACTTAATCCATGAGTGTACCTTATGGAATAATAATTACGATTTCCCATTATTGAGTGGATTCAAAGCAAAGTTCGGAGGAATATGTTTGTGATCCGTTACTTAAATATTTAGAAAACATGGTAAAGTAAATGTTTTTTATCAAACAATTAAAATCAGTGAAGTTAAAGAAAAGCCACAACTTTAGGTTTTGCTACAACCGGATAGAACAATGTGAAAACAATTTTTTTCTGATATGATTTATAAAGAAATTTTTCTTCACCTATGTAAATTGTCTAAAATATCCTGATATCATTTTGGCTGGTGAGTAATTTAGAAGATAATATGGAAATAATGTAATGTAAATATATAAAATAATGTGTTAAGTATTGTTATTAAGGAATCTTTGTAAACCTTTTACATTATAATATTAGAATTATTAACAATATTTTCAAGTTCAAACATCATGCTAGCTGTGTCTAGTGCCAATAAAAACAAATAAGCAACAATTAAATATCTGATTGAATATATGTAGTATAATTTATGCTATTTAAGGTCTTTTAATAAATATATAATCTAAAAAAACTTTTACATGTATATGAACACTACACAATTATAAATTGAAAGCAAATTCAATTTTAAATTAAAAATAAAATTTCGCATGCTTTGCAAGTTCATTAGAATTGTAAAATAGATAATTTTTTTAAAATAAGTGATATAAATTATTTTCTAATTGTGTTATACATTGCATGAAAAGCGTTTAGTCTTGTGCAAATGGTTCGAAGCCTATGTGTTCTACTGTTCTTCCGAATTACATTGATGATTTATTACTATGTGACATTGTGTTGTTATACGGCGACTCACACCTGTTAGTAGTTATTATAAATTCGTTAAGTTCAGCGCAAGGAAGTCTGTATACTCTGAAAGAGAGTACTCTTAAATTAGTAAATTTACTTACTTTTAGTTCATTCAAGGAAGCTAGCTAAGATCGCTTAAAAGACACGGACCGAAAATGTCTTCACTTTCACCATTTCTTAGAAATTCGGTATACAAGAAGAACCAGAAGCCGCATACGCTCCTCAAACTGAAGCATTAAAAAGTACTCCGAAATGGAGTGGTTTTTTGCGCAGCTGAGAGTGACATGATTTTGTATCTGTGAGAAGATGCCAAACTGGCGGTTCACCTGATTTTAAGTGATAACCGCCGACCATCCACATTATATTATTTTATTATTTACGTACCTCAATCCACAGACGAAACGCGGACGAATTAAACTTCCACCTCACCGGTCTTCGGTGAGGTAGTGGTACTTATATAAACTGACCTGCACATTCATGCAACAGAGTAGACTAACACAGTTAAATTAATTTATGCCATCTTGTCTTGTGTCATTTCTACCTATTAAAACGTAGTGATTATATACTCTTTGGTCTCTTAAAAGAAGAAACAGGTGAAACATCGTCAGTTTGAGTAATGCACCCATTAAAATAAAATTCAAATAAAGTTTTACCCAATATCTTACCACCGAGTATTGGAAAGGTTAGGTTGAGCATGTGAAATCATCGATAGTAAGTAATTACTGTAATTATGGAATATGAGTTCCGTCGTGGCACCAACGCGTCACAAACAGCACGTTACATCAACAACGTTTACGGAGAGAACCTTACAAACGAACACACAACCCGTTATTATTGGTTTGCCCGGTTCCGTTCAGGAAATTTAGGACTTTTTGAAATTCAATTTTAATTTTAATTCAATTTTAAGCCAATAATGATGAATTAAAGGCTATTGTGGAAGCTGATGATACTCAACCTCATAGCCTAGCTAGCAGCAGCTTTTAATGTTAGCAACAAAAGAATTTTGGTCCATTTGCGACAAATGTCCAAAGGAAAAAAGCTTGATAGATGGTGCCCCACGATCTTAACAATCGGCAGCGCAATGTACGCTTCGAGACCTGCCTCGCGTTGCTCAACAGGCACAGTAATGAATGAATTTTGAACCGAATTGGTACGTGCGACGAAAAATGGATTCTGTTCGACAATCGAAAGCGCTCAGAAAGTTGGTTACATAATGGTTCAGCACCGATGGGTCACTGTTTGGTGGTTTAGTGCCGGTGTGATCATAGCTTTTTAAATAACGGCATGAGGATTACTGCAGATGTGTACTGTGAAGACCTGATGACTGTGACGAAGAAGCTGGCACATGTACGTCTCCGCTGTTCCTTCAAGACAACGCGTGACCCCATACTACAGGGAGCATCCAGTGTCCAAGCAGCAGATATTGAGGTCCGATTCTCTCCCTCGTCCGCCATACTCACCAGAACTCGCACCTACCTAAACTTCCACTTTCACTTTTTCCAAAATTTGGTTACAACTTTTAAGCGGGAAAAAAATTCAATTCCCGAGAGGCAGTGCAAAATGCCTTTGAAGAGTTTTTTGCTTCCCGTTCAGCTGATTTTTACAAGAAGGGAATCAATAAACTACCAAAGCGTTGCATTGCAAAGATTAGTCATGATAGTAAAGACCTAATATGTTAAATTACACCAAGCAGTTTAACCGTTATAGCTATGTCCAGGGGCTCGCTTTTAATTCAATATACTCGAATATTCCGATGCCGGTACTTACACATTTTGCGGCTTTTAGCCGAATGTTAGGCAAAAATATTCGTCGGCCATCGCATAGCGGGAAAACTTGTATCGGCGTTATTGTTTTCCTTCGGTTTTTCAAATGCCTACATACCTTGAGTTTTATTCTTATTCTTTATTGTACACAAAAAAAAAAAAAATACAGTTACAAATAAAGGATTACAAAAAAGACTGTACAAAGGCGAGCTTAACCCTAAACAGAGTTCTCTGCCAGCAAACCTTTCGTAATAATTAAAAATAAATAAGTAATCAAAGGAAAATAGGTAGGTGTGTACAATGAAAAATAACTTACAGACTAAAATAAGTAATTGCATAATTCTTAATACATAATTATAATTAATACACATATACTACTACATACTAATACAATATAAAAAAAAAGAATATACTAATACATATGCTTGTGACGTTTTATGCATCGGAGGATAAAAAATATTGTTTTACTCTTGTGCGGAAAATTTTTATGGGTGGGCTGGCACGTATGCTGTGTGGAAGCGAGTTCCATAGCTTAATTGCTTTTATTGTATATGATTCGCCATACCGTCTAGATGTGTGGGACGGAATTTTAAGAAGCAGAGAATTGGCACGTCTGCATTGAGTTCCGCGTGGCACTAAATATGTAAAACGCTCTCGAAGATATGAAGGAGCAAGAGGGTTGAAAAGCAAGAAGTAAAGGAAAGAAAGAACATGGAGATCTCGACGTTTACGTACGGGGAGCCATTTTAATTGTTTCCTGTACTCCGAAACATGATCGAATTTGCGGAGACCGAAAATGAAACGAATGCATAGGTTTTGAAGACGTTCTACGTTTTGACATAGTGACTTTGTAAATATCATAAATATGAAGTACTGTTTATCGTTCTCTCTACGTTTTGATTAATTTAAAAGTTTCCCTTTTTATATAATTATAATTATTAACTTACTAATAATAAATGATTATGGTCTTAAAAGCAATGCCCTAAGTTGAGGACTACTCAAGTAACCCGAAAAGTGACGCATGGAAAGAAAGGGAGTAGGTATATATTTCTTCAAAAATTACTCCAAAGGGACCCTGGGAGATTTACTTTAATATTATATAAGAGCATTTCTCTACGGGTAAATAGAGAACACCTAGTTTTACATAGTTCCTCTAATATAATTTATAAAATTTCATAAAAGCAAAGATTAATAGGCCAATTATAATAGGTTGCGCACATTTTGCATGAATTTGATTTCGCTCGTGAAGCGTTAATAAAACTGTATGAAAATATTATGGTTATATTCAAAACAATGTTATCACTAATCCTTCTAAAAATTACCAAGCTTACAAATATACAAATCAGTCTAATACACATTAACAGCACTGCACTGTTTAATGATTTTTTATAGATATTTTAGAGATATCCCTGTTAAGCCGGGCTATCGTCATCGTTAAGAATAAGCAGCATTTGAAAGTAAAAAATGAAATGCCCTGTAACCATGAAGTAGTATCATTTACATTCCTTCATCGTACAATATGTGTGTAATCAACAAATTGAGGTTTATTTTAAAACTAGCTGACCTTCCGTGGACCTTAAGGAACATACAAAAAAAATAATTAACCGAATTGGTCCAGCCATTCTTGAGTTATGCGCTTACCAACACTCATTTTTATTTATTAAGATGAAACGGTTGTGAAATATTGAATGTCTAATTTTACCTGCAATGATAAAGTAAGAAGAAGCTAAATGGCTGAGATATTTGTTATTGCGTTGTGTCCCAACCCTTATATTTTTTGCTCCAAAGGGCTCGTTCCCACTGGTCTGTGAATAGAGCAAAAGCTATTACTTTTACCCTAGGAGTTTAAGATGAAGTAAAGAATTTCTTTTGAAAGTGATTGTGTATTAAATCGATGAGACTCATTCATCGTAATAATATCAATTTTTGTTGAATTGTTTGTTGTATTTGCCTTATATTTTCACTTGCTTTAACAAAAACATTACAAAGAATACTAATACCTTTTATTGTGAAGATTTGAATTTTGTATTGCTATATTGTAGATTTGTGCTTTCATCATATTCTCATAACGTACAGATTACCAGCATCGAGAATAAACACTTGTAAACAAAAAAAATGTATTTTAACATTATTAAGTAGTTACAATTTTTGTTTAGAATAGACTTAGACGGCTACTGTTTTAATAATGATGTTTAAACTCAATTAATAACCTAATGATGTTTTAAAATATACTAAAATTGAACGTCAACACTGAAGCACATTAAACACCAATAACTACAATTTGAAATACTTATGAAAAGGCTTCATATTCGAAACGATAACATATTCAAAGTTACTATTACTAACATTGGATAATTTATTACTTAGGTACATTATTGTTCAATAAGATCCAATAATGTCTTTTATTGCTATGATGTTAAGTACCAAGAATTACTCACCCTTATAGGATAAGGAATAAAAACCATTTCTCAAGACTTCTCGAAATATCAAATCGTAAACAAACGGCGACTCTGCCTTCCAAACGTTGTTTTATTGGTGTCCCTTTCGCGCGAACGTTTGCCGCGCTTTTTGTGTTTTCGAAATAAACGTTGGCGGCATTTGAAATAAGGCGCGAGTAAATTTTGTCGAAGTCTGGTAAGGGAAACCACAAGCGGACTAACCCTCTTTTTGAGATACTTCTTATAAAAATTATCATGAAATAACTGCAAAAAATATTTTTCTTATTGACAGTTCCCTTAATTCCTAAATACAAAACAAATTTAATACTTATTTCATAGAAAATTAAAGAAAATAATTTTTCGAAGAAAATGTACGGCACATAAATGTGACTTCGGATATGAACCTTACTCTTATCGACAGAGAGACATTTTTAGCATTGTCATAGTTTTTAATACGTCACGGATATACGTAGTACACGACGTTTTATTGGCTTCTTACAGTTGGCGGCAATGAACATGACAGCCAATCACGTTCTACGTAGAGGGCGCCGGTGAGCCGACGCGAGTCGACCCAAGCTAGCTTACGCTGGGAACATTGCTTCGAGCTCCATACATTTTCTTCTGGTTCTCTACGTCTGCAGTTTGGTTGTGTACCAGTTCAAAAATTATTTCAAAATTTTTGCCATCAGGTGAGTCTTAACATTTTAGTAATAACTCCGATGTGTTTTAATCTGTTTATGTATGTTTATTAATGCGATATTTAATCAAAAATCGTTGAATCCACGTTGGAATTCTAAGTCAAACATGGCTATAGGCATCGTCATACTGTGTAGTACGCGTGGGTATGGGACTGGACGCCCTATTTTAAATAATTAATTTCTCCGTTCTTTTCCATTGAGGGTAATAAACCGTTCTTCTACAAGTTATAGATTATTACTTCAGTGATTATTTGGTAATTATGTCATTTATAGTAATTGCGTATTTTCAACACAATACGTGAAAACAAAATGGCTCGTTCGACCCAAGCATAGGCCACTGAACTCTGTAAAGGGCGATAACTATTTTCTTTAATTATTATGTCGTTAGTGATTATTAATGCAGTGTTTTTAATAGTTCAAGAATGCTTTTTGAACCTTCATGGTGAATTTTATCGAAATAACATCCTCGTGCCCTGAATATGTTTCCCGCCAAAACGCGTCTCTACGGTGCCATATAAGAGGCGCACCAGCGTTTTAAATCTCTCATTGTAAAGCGTGGTTTGTGTAATATGTTGTAGAAGCTTTTTTTTATTGTATTTTGTCTACATTTGTTCAATTATTTCAGGAAAAAAGTTAAAATGACGGACAAGCCTAAGCGTCCAATGTCAGCCTATATGCTATGGCTTAATAGTGCAAGAGAACAGATTAAATCTGAAAATCCAGGGCTTAAAGTAACCGAAATAGCTAAAAAGGGGGGTGAAATATGGAGGTCGATGAAAGATAAGAGTGTAAGTGTAGCATTTTACCTTAATTAGGTTTAACTTGATTTTTCTTTGTTTGATTCTTCTATTAATTAATATTATTTATTTAGGTCTGGGAGGAGAAGGCTGCAAAGGCGAAAGAGCAGTACACAAAGGATCTAGAATCTTACAATGCTAATGGAGGTGGTGGTGAAGGAGGCGGTAAAAAGGCACAGAAAAGGGGAAAGAAGGGCAAGAAAGCTGCAGCACCAACTGTAAGAAGCGATGCTTACATGTGAAGTTTCTTTAATTGTGTCTAGTTATTTATAAACAATATTTGTTTTACAGAAGTCTAAGAAGAAGAAGGAGGAGTCTGAAGAAGAAGAAGGTGAGGAGGAAGAAGAAGAAAGCGATTGATCTCCCAATTCACATGGCATTTCTGTTCATATTGAATAATTTACTTGGACTTAATTTATTACAAAGTAAAATAAAAGGACTGACTTTCCAAAGTCTGTATGACCAACTTAACATTTTTGTATTTTAGTGTATTTCTTATTGATAGTTTTTTAAATATTTGTTTCTGAATATTATTGTATAATGATCGTAAACTAATTTTGGCTAATGTAATGAAATTCTTGAATATTTGACAGGTGATTATATACTTTTTATTATAGAATATATTCTTACAAGATGCAAATATATTTTCAATGAGTGCAGAGTTTGGAAAGTTCCACCGCTGGCTAGGGTCTAGATTTCTAAGCCTCAAAAAAAAAATAATGTTTAAGTGTTAAGCATGTATACACTGGGGAATTGTACAGTAGCCCTCCCTCGTTAAGTTCGCTGTGACATTGGATGCTCATCTTTGAGAATGTACCTTGTGTGGTTTTATCAAAACTTTTATGTCAAAATTTCTACTTTTTTGCTATAAAAGCTGTGCTTTTAAATTTAGTATGCCATAACTAATTTACTACCATAAGTCCTTTCTGTTTGCTTAGACATAAGAGTTTTGGTCGTTCTGTATCCATATGTAAAATTAGAGACAATTTCATGAAGATGTGATGGCTTATTGTTAATTAAACCTACCTCTTTTCATTGTAAATTTCAATGCTAATAATTTTACCAAACTTTTAAGATAGGACAGCGTAGAGCGCACGAATCATCGTGACTCGCGTTCAGCAAAGAAAGTAATTTAGGAAATTGATGTGTATGTTGTATTTTTAGTTAGTTAATAGGTAGGTTTTCAATGTGATTAGTCTCTTAAATTTTACATTTGTGTTATTTTGTAAATGAGAAATAGCATTCCTCATGTCAATACGGATTTTACATGTTCAATAAAGTAATTTCATATAAAAATTAATTTTTAATTAGTCTTTCAATTAACCCTTTGTTTCGTATAGTTCATAAATAATTTTAAAAAATTGGTTTAATTCCATATAGTTCATAGAACCAACAAAATGTTAACGATGAACCTGCTAACGAGGTTAGTTACGTAGGTATTTTGTTGAGAAAAAATTCGATAGATGCAATCATAATGAGGTCGATAGTGTCACAATAGCGTCGCTTCGGTTTAGTGTTGTAACTAATTTCCGATAGGGATGCGAAAAAATGACGATATATTGATCCCTATAAAATATTCACTATCGAAAATTCGATTCCGAGACAGGTATCGTACATTCAAATACTTGGATTACTTGGCATACGTTTTTTTTTTATGACACGGCCAAAAAGAAAATATTGATATATCGAGGCCGATTTTGATATTTTTATAAAAATCGATATAATTTTCAATTCAGACTTCAGGGGTGCCAAATTAGGGGTTTTCTCCCAAATTTAGGGGGTTAACAAAGGCCTTGGGATTTGTTTAGGTTCGTTATATTTTTAGGGATTTTTCGACTTCTTATATTTTTCCTATTCTGTTTCTTATTTTCTTTAAGAAAGATAAAAATAGAAGAAGGGTAAAAATAGACGGCTTGTTACTCCTAGCAATCTAGCCAATCATATTTCTTTGATGACCTTGCATCTTAGCAACAGCTAGAACGGTTTTTCGGTTACTACAGTTTGTTAAATAAATGATTGACTTTTAAGGGGCCCATTCACTATCCTGCCTGGAAGTCCGCCGTGCAGGACTGCAAAGCAGGATGAAGCCCACACACTATCCTGCAAGCCGTCCATCATAGTGTCAGTGTTATTGTTGTAATAATTATGGATTTACGTGAAGTATCGAAAAAAAAAGATATTCTGCTATGTTTTTTTGTTGTTAGATAAAAGTTTTTATTAATAAATAACCTTTCCTCACATTATCATACTAATATACATAAAATTTAAGTATAATAACCTTAGCTTTTCTCAAGTTGAACTATTTCAATATGAAAAAGTTTTTTTAGCTTAGTTTTAGTTATCACATCAGTCGGGCTTCCCGGGATGCAGTTTTTTTTTATTTAAAATAAAGTACCCAGTCCTGTGTAGATTTTTTTCTAACATGTGAATAAAATTTAATTCCTAAAAATATTTCTAAAAAATTCCCTGTTACATAATTTCTGTTGTAAATCTGTACTGTGTAAATTTACGAAAAAAAATCCTAATTTAGCATCCGTATTTTCATATAATATAGCGCAATTTTGCTAAGGACTTAGTGCATTTTTTTCTTCATATGGCAACACTGCCGCTATGAAGGACGGCCAAACCACTGACGCTCCTGCGCGGCGGACTGCAAGCGGTGGGCGGAGCTTGCAGGTCCCTTGCAGGATGCAAGGCGCGTCCTGCTCGGTGTTGCCAGAAACTGTGGAGGCCTGCAACACCATTCACGATCCTGCATAGAGCGGTGGACTGCACGGCGGACTGCCAGGCAGGATAGTGAATGGGCCCCTTTACGTTACATTTTTTTTGTTTAAACAATACGGAACTTCATAAACGAGATCCATATTTAAAAAAAATAATGTAAATGATGATGTCCCGTATCAACCTATATTTAACAGACTGTAAGAATGTGGAGTAGAAATTTGGAGACTAGATATAAAAAGTGTCCGTCACATTTAATTATTTACGCAGATACATTTTAAGTCTGATTTATACTGGCCAAGTGTTTGGTAAAGTAGACAAGTACAATGATTATGTATAGTAATGGTTTACATTCGGACGTAGACGTAGTGGCGAATCAACTTGTCTTGCAAGCTGCTTTGCAACAAGACCCAAAAAGAATCACTTTCGATTTTTAGGTGCAGGACTACCCCTCGCGCGCCCATCGCGGGGCACTTAACTCTTCACTTGCCGTAGTGTAAACAGTCAAATTAGTACAGTGGCTGGCTAGAGGCCACAAAATTGCACATATTGCTCGTCCACTTCGACAAAGAAATCCCATTGTACTTACTGTAAAGGCAACTTGTCTGGTGCCGGCCACTGGCCCCTGTACTAGTGTTCCATATTTACCACTGTTCTTGACAAATGTAAATTAAGCTTAAAAGAAAGAGCCAAAGGTAATGAATTTTTTATCAATCACCGCACCTGATTGCACGAGTAAAATGTATATATATATATATATACAATGTATGTATATATATGTACAATGTATATATGTAATGTATATATATATATATACAAACCTTCTTCTTGAATCACTATATCGAGTAAAAATAAACGGCATCAAGATCCGTTGTGCTGTTTTAAATATCTAAGCATACATAGGGACAGTAAGACAGCAGGCTGACTTTGTTCTAAACTATGTAGTGATTATGAATAAAATTTTTGGAATTACAGTAAAAATATTGGTCGCCTAAAGAAATTACAAGAGATATTTTAAAAAAAATTAAATGCCCTTCATTTAATTTTGTTAACTTTTAATAAGATTATCATTACGCCTTTTTATAAGACCAACATTTTCACTGCAATAAACTTCACTGTTTATTATTCCATTCATGTAGAATTAAGGCAAAAAAACTTTGCGTGATTTATAATTTTTTTAATAACATTATTTTATTAGGGGATTTTTATGAGATTTTACTTAAACTTATAACAATATTTTCGAGAGTTGGTAACGTTGTCTTTATCTCCAATTTCCGAAGTGTATAATTCTTACCATTAGTACACCTTTCTAATTTTCGAATAACCTTTTGTTAAAATCTAATGAAATTTATAACCATTATAAAAATATTTCTTTTAATATCAACGCGTGTTTCACAAAGACATCGCGTACATCCGTATACATTCATAGGACGTATACGGGATGGCGTTTTTAATGGTGCCCAAACTCACTCAGCAGGTTCAGACTCGGTAGTGTAATCTTTTTTTTCAAGAAAATTGCCATTAAATTAAACGTTTGAACTTGTACATGTGATACTTTAACATGTCACACTACAACAAGAAAGGACGGCGAGGTGCATTGAGTTGACATTTTTATGTGCCAATCTGCAAACGTGCATCATCAATATAAAAAGAATATCATTGCACATTACGGGTATAGGAAACTGAAATAAAAACTGAGAAAAGGTCAAGAATGTTTTGGATACATACGACTATAGAACAAAGGAAGGCTTTCGCCAAGGTCTAGCACAAAGGCTTGCTTTACAAGCTGTTCGCACTAACGTGTCAGACAGACTCGTGCACACCATCAGGGCCTTCCTGTTGAATCGCTATTTTCGATATCGAGTAGAAGGCACCCTCCCTACGAAGCGCCCCCTCACGGCGTTCCTCAATGGTCCTGCTTCTCCCCCTTGGTTTTTACGCTATATACGAGTGGCATACTAAAAGACTCGCAAGTCCATCTCGTGAATGACACGGCGCTCTTTTACACAAATAAAAATCTTAATCAAAACTCACTACACGTCTTCAAAGCGCCAGAAAATGCCATCCAAAGATGCCTGCAAATTGCTCGCAAACTCCAAGAATCATCAGATTTCTCGTTTGCAGTTATGAAGCAAGTGATTCAATATTTTTAAGCTAGGTGGTAGGGCCACGCAGCAGCCACGGCTGTTGCACGAATGGGCAGGCTCGTCCGTTTAAGTACGACGAACTCACAGAAGACCGACGTAGAGTGGAAGTGTAATACTTTCGCGTTTCGTCTGGTGAGTGAGGTGGCCGGAGCCCAATTTCAAAAGGTTGTCAACACATCTGGAATTCTAAGGTGTAACAGATGTCCATGGGAATTCGCGGTATTCACTTAACATCAGCTGAACCGTCTGCTCGTTTGGCAACTTCTCACATAAAAAAAAAGCATTTTTTTCCAATCATTTTAATGACAGTAGTCATTAAAACTTTCAATATTATCTGTCCATATTGTTGCCTACGGAAAACAATGCCAATTCCAATGTGAACAAAATTTTTACAAGTGAAACAACACATTAATTTAAACCTACCAACAAATTTACCTGAAATTGGCAATGATGAATGATTTCCGTTTGTTTGTTTCAGATGAGACTTTTGGTCATCAACTTGATCAATTAAAACAAACATTTAACTACGAGCTCACAAGAGCAAGGTGATTTGTTGAATGAGCTTTTGGCATTTTATGAAATTAAAGTCGTACTTTCAGAAGCCAATGAACGTGTCTATTGATTAGTCGGTAGCTATTGTGAAACCATGTCGTATTTTGCAACATTTTATACATAAGGAGGAGGGGTTTCACATCCTTAATGCAAGTGAAAACGAGGCGACTTTGATTCAGCACCAACACAGTAGTTATATAGCACGAGTGCGGGTCGCGGAAGTATGGTCGCTAATAAAGTTCGCAACAGATTTGCAAAAAAAGGGACGAAGGTTAGCCATTCTTAACAAAGTAACTATACATAATTTTGTAAATGTAAATGCCTTATTTTTGGTAATATATCTGTATCTTAACAAATTTGTTTACTACTAATGTGTTCAAATGTGGGCTGTAAATGAGTGAAGATATCTTTCCATAGGCTTTATATTTAGCCGCTTATTTTTGTTAATATCAATAGTCTCACCCCATATTACAGCCCTTTTGTGAATTCAATAATTAATTAATTAAAATAAGTAATTAAATCTTCTTGATTTATTTCCATTGAAGAAAAATTTCGCGATATTAAGTAAGGTAAATTTAAAAATATTAACTAATTGCAAATGGCAGTGTCGTTCGTTGTTGCGTTTTAAGGGGGAGGGCGTTTCAATAGTGGACGACTTGCGATTAATTATAAAGTAAGGTAAACAGTAAAGGGTACCGGAAATGCCTGCCGTTGTGAAAAAGTCGGGTATCGGTTGCAGCTTACTATGTACTACAACACTGGTGAAAAACACGCTGTGCACAAACGAGGCACGCCGAGGACACATAAAGAAAATTTGAGACAGAAAGACGTGCTGTAGCGTCACCGCGTCAATGTACGGCTACCATAGTGATTTATACAAGAATGAAGACCGTGTCTGCATCTAGTGAATAATCTACCATGATTTCAGAGAGCAAAAAAATGCCTGTGAACAAGGGGATTTAGTATGTCTCGTTATTAAAACGTGATCGCTATCTTATTGATCCCTCTGCATTTGAGTGACCCTTCGATCGTGTAATATCCTTCCCCTCTCACCACCTGCTAGTCGAATTGTCTATTTTTTGTTAACAGGTGGCTTTATCTCGTCGTTCATCACCAGCTAAATTGTTTCTCCCGAGTCCACATTTCCATAGGTCATTTTTCCACGAACCTCTTCGGACAATACTGTTAAAGCCATCGGTCTAAAAACACTTACACTAACAATAACAAATGTATCTTAAACCAATAAGGAGACAAGTTAATGGAGCCTGAAAGAAGACTTAAGGTTTTAAAAATGGGATGAGAGAGGAACTGAACAGAATTGGAGAAAACTCTGTCCACAAGAAACTCTACAGAAGGTTAAATGATTTTCTCAAGCTTATCAAGAGCCTGTTTACTGCATGGCTCCGAAATGAAGCAGCTGTTCTCACACTTATACTCAGTGGCGGATTTGCCCTAAGGCCCAATAGTCCGGGGCCTAGGGCGGCCACATATTATGGGCAGCCGATGTGATGGGCGCTGAGAAAGGGGCGGCGTGAACGTACTACATGAGCTGGGGCCCAGGGTGGCCAAGATTACAAATCCGCCACTGCTTATACTTGTAGAATATATATACTGTGAGTGGGGGATACTAGGCATGTTCGAATCAAAGATGACTCCTAAAAACTTTGCCTGACTCTTGAACACCATATAAAGATAAAAACGTAAATGGGGTATATTCCATTTTCGACTAAATATAACTCCGTAGCATTAAAGAATAGACAGACTTATATCGTGATCTTGAAGCCAATCATTCAGATAACCTAATGTGGTAGATAATTGGAAACATCCATTAAACAGGGAGGAACAAGTTGAATACACTTTTATCTCGATCTAATATTTATAAGGTTAAATCTATCTAAAATTACATATTATCTAATAAACCTAATCCACGCGGCATGGTGCCAAGAACGCTAGCTGCATTAGTTATTAGCTGCTTAGCCTTTGAGCGAGGAAAGAACCAGCTCTCTTGTCACCAGCCGCGGCGTTAAGCCTAGGACATAAACTTTTAAAAAATTTTGATGTGCAGGGACCCGACGGACCGAAAGTTTCAACAGCGAATGGCACAAATACATAATCTAAACTTAAGGACTCATATTTGCGTCATTTACTTACTTTGTCGGTCGGGCCTCCGATGTCGCCCCGGTCCTGACCAAAGTACCCCTTAGATGAGAGGCAGCCAAAATGTCTACACAGGTGGCGTCCCAAACAAGGGCTTTGCGTCTCTCCCAAGGGATCAATGTTAAACCGTCGGGTCTCTTACCATCGGGAAAAATGTCACAGGGCTCTAAAATAGATGGAAACAAGAGCCCTACGGATGATGTCGTTCAGGAAACCGTGGCGGGAAAAACGGTCAGCACTTTTTTGACAAGAAAGCCCGTGGAGATCAAATTTGTCTACACTGACACCACAAGGGCATTGGTGTGGTTGACAAATCGGTGCCACCTGACGGATATTTCTATAGCAGATTTTCCTATAGCAATGCGCAAGCTTTCATCGTCAAGTAATGTGCCCAAGTTATTTGATGGTAAAGCGTGAAGCCAATAACTCGATTTTTTAGATGAGACGCCTAAGAAACGGGCACGCTCTAAATTACTTTCTGAAGATTGAAACGTATCTCTCTGTCCTCTCCGCACCAAAGGAACATGCCAGTGTTTTTGTTGGTTAACTTCCAGTGGGATATTTTCGTTGGAGCAGATAGACAGCCAAGACATCCTTGCCTCTTCTGCATAGGAAAGTTCTGAATCGTGATTAAGAATGTTATTACATAAATTATTTACACTATGCACGGAAGCAAGGAAGGTAGGTAGAGCGACACTAGAAATTTTTCTTACACCGATACCACCAAAATGAATTGGCAGCGAAGCTGGAGTCTAGGAAATAAAAAAAATGTGTGTATGGTGAACCACTTCGTTCAGCAGTCGTTCTATCAATGGAGTTAAAAGCATTCCCTAGATCAACTTTCAGAAGTACATCCAAATCACTAGTATTTAAAGAAGTTCGAACGGAATGTACAGCCGCTTCACAGCCACCTTTGCGTCCAAAGTCAGGCTGGAATTTTGTTTTAAGGCCTGAAGTTATGTGCCTACATGCTAAATTTGAAGTTAAGCGTCGAAAGGTACAACCAATAGCAATAGGACGGATACACCATTATTACTTTTTAAAGGCACATAATCTTGCCCCGTATAAGAAAAAAATTAGTTATTTAATTATTCTTTAATCTGTTCTATGGTCACTGGTAATTTGACAAATCATTTGTCTTGACAGTTTGACAAATGACAATTGACCAATAAAATAGTAAACAAATTTTATTTTTTCAATAGGTGACTAAAATCGGTATTTTTAAAAACTACACTTCCTCAATATATCACTTAAGAAGAGATTCTGTATGGTTCAATTATTATCAAGTGAGTAGTATATAATTCTGTTTACAATATTGTACAGTGTTGTTAGAAAAAGTGTTTTTACTTTAATTTAGGAGATATTGCAATTTAATATATTTTGTTGATTTAGATAACATGTCCGGAGACGGATCAGGTAGTATAGGCAGTGGAACGCAAGTGGCACTAGTTACAGGTGGTTATGATCACACTATTAAACTTTGGCAAGCGCACAGTGGCGTATGTTTACGAACTATGCAACATCCAGACTCGGTAATTATAAAATGTTAAAAGGATTTCAAATCAAATACTATGTATAATATTTACAACAATTTATATGTCTCTAAATGGTTGGAAACATCAAATATCACATTTATATTTGAAACTATTGGTAGTTTCAAAATTAAATTTGTGATATTTGTTGTTTCTTATCCCTTAAGATAATTTTATTTGTGTAAAATAGAATTCATCACCAAGCTAAGAAAGACATGAGGTAGCTACTATGTGATAATGAAAATAAAAAAAATTATAACCATATTTCTACATAAGTTTTTCTTTTGGTTAGAGAATCTTGGGAAAGCAATAAATATTCAAATTTGATTTTGGTTTCAGCATTTTTATAAGTTAAATTATTATGGTTGTATCGTATGCTAATTGCTATTAAATCTTATTATTCACAGCAAGTTAATGACTTGGAAATAACTCCAAATGGTCAAATGGTTGCAGCATGTGGATATCAGCACATTCGGATGTATGACTTAGCAAGTGCTAATCCGGACCCTGTAATGAACTTTGAAGCAATAACTAAAAATGTGTCTAGAGTGGGCTTTCAAGTGAGACAAACATGATAATTTAATGAAATAGAATGTTTCAAATGCTGTATTTATTTGTCATTCGGTTTTAGGAAAATGGTCAATGGATGTATACAGGAGGTGAAGATTGCACAGCAAGAATATGGGACTTAAGGTTAATAATGCAAATATATTATAAAGATTCTAAAGCAATACATGTTACTAGCTGTACCGGCAAATGTTGTTTTGTGGAATTTCTTTCTTTTCCATTCTTAGCTGCTCTCGGCGAAACAAATATTCCAACCAAATTTCAAGTCTATACACCTTATGGTTCCAGAGATATTGTGATGAGTCAATTATCGGTGGAAATCTTATTAATAGATTAACTAATGTAGAAAATGACAAGGTCAGTTATTTTTAACCCAAATAAATTGATAAATATAGTTAGTGGTTGTTCTTAATTATGAGTTTTTTTTTAAGGAAGAAGGTGGCAAACGAGCTGGCAGTTCACCAAATGTTAAGTGATTACGGCTGCCCTTTTAGATTTGCAATACCCATAGGGTTGCAGATGCATTACCACCTTATTATAAAATGGGCCCTGGATATCTCACTCACGAGATGAAACAAAGAAGTATAAACTTCCACTTCACACTGGTCTTCTGTGAGATAGTGGTACTTACGCAGATAGACCTGCCCAATTGTGCAACAGCTAAAACTGTTGCATGACCATACCACAGTTAGTATAGGGTATAAATGTGATGCATGTTTTCTTGCAGGTAAAATCATTAACCCATGTCAATAGGATTTAAACTTGATGGAGACAATACCAGTCTATGTCCACCACCATGAAATATGTTTTTTTAATTTAGTTGTTTAAAACTATGCACAAAAAAATATTTCAACACAGGTATACTTAATACCAAAGACATTTTATGCCAGTAGACTTAATGGTTGATCCAAAACAATGTATTATACAAATTTAAAATTTATTTTTAATCTATTTTCTTTATTATTTGCATAGATAAAATTTAAAAATACCTTAACAGGATAAAATAAAAAATATAATGAAATATCATCTTCATTTTTTAATAATTGAACTCTCATTATTTTCATTTCCATTAAAAGTGTGGTATGTACATTTTTACCAGGGCCGGGAGACCATTCCAGTGTCAGCGAATTTTTCAAGTACCAGCACCAGTAAATGCAGTTGTGTTACATCCAGATCAATCTCAGATTATGGTTGGCGGTCAAAGTGGATTTATTCATATATGGGATCTCAAGACAGATCATAACGAGCAATTGGTATGATTTTCTGATTCATAATTATTAGTATTTATCATTTTATAAATACAGAATAAAATGTAGAAAAAATTCACCTTTATATATTAGGCAACATCTGACACAGATGAAAAGGCCTCAACAATATCAGCCAAATTTTTAAAAAAGGCACTGAGACCTACTAATAGTTTCATCTCGACATACATGTTGAGATATAAAACTATTTGCATGAGAGGGTAATTTTATTAAATGGATTTGGGGTGTAGTGTTGTACTTGACTTTGTCACTTATATCAATAATTATAGTATATAGTTATTATGATAAGCAACTACAGTGAACTTATCCATTTCCATCATCAGACAGCTAGACACTAGGTATTTTTCTTGTTGACTATCCTCATACTCGAAGCATACACTTTGCGTCTTTGTTTATAATTGGCCTAAATAGTGATAACCGGCACTTATTGATGAGAAACAATATGCTGGAATTTCTCTCTCCATCCATCTGAATAAAACCAGCAACATACATAAGCAGTCTTCAATGCAAGATTGAATGGATATTACGTTTTGTAGCATGTGTGTTTATCATCTGCACAGCTATTTCTCATCTGGCTGGGTAGGTTAAGGTTTCTCATAAGAAAAAAACTTGTCAAAGATCCCGGAAGCCGAGGCATCGATCCAGGACATCGCGATAGACCCTGAGGGCAAGATGATGGCAGCCGTGAATAACAAGGGCAACTGCTATGTATGGTCCTTGGGTGGTTCCATGCCTCTGCCCGTACCAAGGAAGCACCTGCAGGCCCACAAGAAATACGCCCTGCGCTGCAAATTCAGCCCGGACTCCACGTTTGTTGCTTATTAAATACCTCACATATCTTCAGCATAACGGGAAAGGGGATAACGATCGTTGCTATTCAACGAGATTTTTTTCAATGAGATCTATTTATCAATGAGAAGAACTTATAAAGAATTTACGAGAGTCAAACCCACGACCCCCGGTGCCGAAGCGAATACCTTGGTAACTGCGCCATGCAGATATTAAAGTTTATGAGTATAGAGAATTATTGTAGAAACGGAGTCAATCATTTTATATATGTAATAAAATATAATTCAGTCAGGAAATTATTGAATACATTAATTAGATTAGGCTCGTCTTACAATCGAATTTCGAAATTGGAGATTCTATGATTGGTCAGACTGGACTGCACATCGCCTTAAAACGTTGTGATGGGAATTGTTCTGTTAAAATTCTCGACGTTTCGAATTCAGCATCTGTTGTGTCCAAACTTTTTACTGTATACTGAAAAATTTTCGGCATTGCGGGATTGCCTAAGTCGTCTGGTTAACACGCTTTTATTCTTTCTTTACTTCACGCCGGTTTACTGCGAGATTGTGGTAGTTACCCGGACGGACCTATCCGTTCGTGCAACCAATGTCGTCTTAGCCCATATACAAACTTGGAGCCTTAATGGAAAGTAAATAAAGTGAAGTATAAAAACATTTTTCTGCTATTATCGTATTATATGTTTTATTCATTCTATAAATTTGTCGATATCTACAAAATCTGACCAATCTGAAATCTGAATATATCTACCATAAATCGAATTTGGTCCATCCCATCATTTGTCCTGGTCCACGGGCCGCGTGTGCCCCTATGGTAAAACTTACGTACAATAGCGAAGACTGTTGCGTGGCCCAGCCACAACCGAAACCTTCAAAGGTTAAGTCTGCCGAAAGGATGCTGGTGACCACTTCCGGGGACTGTTCGGCGCGTGTGTGGCGCACCAGCGACTGGTCGCTGATGCGCGAGTTGCGCCACGACACCCAGCGCTGGGTGTGGGACGCCGCCTTCAGCATCGACTCGCGCTACCTTTTCACCGGTATGTCCAGTGTATAGCCCACTTAGGGTTGGATAGGTCATACAAGAGTCAATGAACAAAACGCTTATGGCCAGTACATAGCTTTTTTCTTGAGGGTAGGTGCTTAATAAGTAACAGGTGATTTTTATCTGCCGTTTTTATTTTTATTATTGTATAATAATAGTTTCATTATAAATTCCATTCACACGCAATTTTAATCTCCGAAAGCTGGCTAAAACCTACTTAATCGCAATGATCGTGTTAATAAAGGGGTTGCCATTTATCTACAGATATCTATAGGGTACAAAATTGCCATGGCCTCCTTCCGCCTCTGCAGAATTTTTCTTCCTAGAACTGAATGTCAAAGGCAATAGGATGATGCTCGGAGTAGTGATAAGGCTAATACAAATTTTACTCCCTTGGCAATGGCTTGTACAATTTGACGAGAAGGTGTCTATACTCAATAATATTGTTCAAAGTTTATATAATGCCCATGCTCCGGTCATTAAAGTAAAATTGAAGAGGCCACCGGTTCCTTGGATGACGGATAATGTGCGAAAGGCAATGGCTAGGCGAAATCGAGCTTTCTCTCGGTTGAAGAACAATCGTACCGAAGAAAACTGGGCAGCTTTCAAACAAACCAGAAATAGGTGCAATCAGATGGCACGTACAGCTAAACGCCGATATATCTATAACAAACTCTTCTCCGCGGATGCGTGGAAATTTATAAATTCTTTTGGTGTCTCTAATTCATCTAATGTTTGTGGTTCTTCTATTTCTTCAGACAATATTAACAAACATTTTTTCTGTTTCTCTAATGGACCCTACAATTTTAACTTTTTTTTCTAAAGTTTTGGAAGCCCGTGTTTATAAGCAAATCTTTTGTTTCATACATAAAAATGACCTACTGAGTGATTATCAGTCTGGGTTTCTTCCTGGACATAGCAACTCAACTGTCTTACTTAAAATCGCCGACGATATTAGATTAGGTATGGATGATAAGAAAGTGACAGTGATGGTGCAAGTCGATTTTTCTAACGCTTTTAACACAGTTGATCACGATATCCTCCTCGCCGTACTTGCTCAAGTAAGGTTCGCTCCCACAGTTTTGGATTGGTTCTCATTCTATCTTCGTCAGCAGTAGGCTTTTGTGGTACAAAAGCCCTCACAATGGGCTAATATAGACTCTGACGTACCGCAAGGCGGTATTCTTTCTACCATAATGTTCTCAGTTTTTATAAAATCAATTACATCATGTCTTGTTTGTGCGTACCATCTGTATGCGGATGACTTGCAGATTTAACTTCAGATTGATATTGGTGATACATTTTTGACCTTCGAAAATATGACCATATTACTTCCTATCGTTCTCGTCTCAAATGGCTAACAGTCAAACAAAGGCGTAGCTCTAGAATTCTCCTTACTCTTTTCTCGGTCTTAAACGATCCTGTTAGTCCGTATTATCTTAAAGATAAATTTAAATACCTCTCGCCGAACAATGAAAGAGATCTCCGTTCTTCAGCTAATTTAAGGATTACTATCCCTTCACATAATAAAAGTTTCTTCAGTAATTCTTTCACTGTTCAGGCTACACTCCTCTGGAACTCCTTGCCTGATGACATACGTAGAGCCCCTAATAGGACATCATTGACTTGGACAGGGTTGACTGGGAGAGAATGCCAAAAGGCATTAAGTTCGCCCTTTGTAATCTTTTTTATTTAAAGTTTACAATAAAGTATAAATAAAAAAATAGCCCCGCTAGGATTGGGTGGGACATACAAAAGACATTTTGTATAAGGCCTTTGAAGTGCGGCCTTATACAAAACACCATCGGCAGCCCGGACTAATAATAATACTAAGACGTCCAACGCGTGTCTGTCCCGTGACCTTGAATCCTGAAGAGGGTTCGAAATATCGGAAAATAAAACTAAACGCGATAAATTGGTTAACATAGTTTCATTTTGTATTATTAATCTTTTTGTGGGGTACAGCAAATAAGTTGTCTTATGTTGATGGTGTTATTTACATAACTAAAAATAATGAAGCTGTTTAACAATATTTATAACACAAAATATGTATACATCATGTCATAAAGTTAATATTGAGGTAAATCATTACTAATAATTTTATGCAGGTTCATCGGACAGCTATGCGAGGCTTTGGGATATCGAAAAAGGCACACTCGAGCGTGAGTACTGTGGTCACCAGAAGCCGATAACAGCTTTAGCATTCAGAGATCAAGCTGTGTAGAGCATACATTTAATAACGTATATAATAAGTAAAGGAAGTGTACCCTGCCACTAAAGATTGATGGGAAGACAGACTGTATAAATTAAGCTGCTTTTTGAACCAGTGTATCCTATGTTGTACATACCACTGTTCTGTTGTGTTCCGCGCATTTACTAAGTAAATGTTTATTGTAATTATAAGAATAAGTAATTTGATATTATATATGAAATGAAACACTGAAGTGCACTACAATTGTTGTTTTATTCATTTAATCAAAGCCAAATGTTTAATATTTAATTCTTAAATAGTTAATTCAAAAATTTGAATATTAAGTTGAATAAGGAACTATTGATTCTATTCCTGTTATTTATAACGCACTTTTATTAGCTCTACCTGTATGTATATAACAAGGTTATAGATCTTTCATTCCTAATTTAACCCATTTTTCTAATATTTGACCTTTGGGTGATTTTTAATTGTGTGCATAAAGAAAAAGCTTTGACAATAAAATTAAATCATGACAATGGCATTAGTATCCTCACAAGGATTACTTAGGTTGTGATATTTAAATGCTTAGCTTTTATTGATTAGTATGACAACTTTTGTTGATTGGTGTTATTCATAATTTAATAAAAAAGTATTTATCATTGGTGAATTTATATTTATACTATTAGATATAATAGATAGAAGCTTTTTAGCCTAATTTCCTTTGAAAGAATAATTCAAAGGAGCATTAAATAAAATTTCTTAAAAATAATAAATAAAAGTTACCAGAAACCAAAATATATGTTCAGCTAAACAAGGCTTCCTTAATCCATTTATTTAATGAATTTTTGATGCCATATTTTATCTATCCAATATTTTAATGTTTGAACGAAAATATAACCAAGCCATGTTTCTCATTGATTGTTTATATTGTATAATAAAACAAAACGCATGGAAATGGAATGTATTGGCAAAAAACTTGAATAGTCAAATACACTTTCAACATAACACTAAATACACTTCAGATCTAGAGATCGAGATGATATCTTACGCTATCACAAATATCTGATTAAATATTTTTGAATACACATATTGCACATAATAAGTAAAGGGCCAATTTTTTTTGTACTAAATAAATGCATTAGTTTCTTTTATTTCCATTTTAAATATGGATTCACTCTCATTTCATACTCACACTCTCACTTATAATTTTGTTGAAAAAAATAAAGGAATAACATTGAACAGTACGCTAAATAGTAAATGTAGAGACAATAAAATATACAATCCCACATTATAAATGTTAAAAACTTTTGCAATGTTTTCTATTAAGTGATTTAGATATATGGTTTTTCAGTTTTCTCTATGTTTATTTAGGTTGTTTCATGAGTTACTATGCATAGTGTTCTATGTTTTAAACACCATTATTTATTAGTTTTTTAATAATTTATTCTTTTTTCGTATGTCTAATACGGTATATGAGTTTTAATGTCTCTTGAAAAATTGGTTTGTGAAAATGTTACATAATACTGCATGCTTTGCTCTTATTTTAAAAAAAGCATAAATTAATTTTCAAATTCTTCCTTGCTACACGCATTAAGTATATTTTGGATGTCATAATAATAAAAAATGAAATATAATTAAGACTAGAACAAAAATTGATCATAATTGTAAACAATTTACTAAATATTTTACCAAACCCGCAAAGTAGGCGCGCTTTGTAGATATAAACATTTAAGATACTATGTATTTTTCAATATTAATCTAAAATCATATTCATTATCATTCAACCTAAGCATGTAATTATACTGTTGGTTAAATCTTTGATATTTCTATTGAGATGACCTATGCATTGATCTCTCCGATTGGCATGTAATGTTGTGAAGATAAGCCCAATTTTTTTTTTATATTTTAGCCCCTTCAATTAAGTATTTGATAATCATATTATTAATTGGATAAGCATTTTATAATTGAAAACATTACCTAAACTTAGTTTAAAATATATCTCACCATTAGGTACATATGTTAAGACTGCCAAAATTTTTAATCCTCAAAACAAAAAATACGAATATGCACCCCTACAATTTCCCCTTAATCCCATCCTCCAAGACAACAATTTAATGGGCATCAAAAATTAAATGACCATGTAAGATTCAAAGTTTTTTTTGTGAGAAGGCGGCAAACGAGTTGGCGGTTCACCTAATGTCACCCATTGACATTTGCAACACCTTACCGGTGTTGGTTGCAGATGCGCTCCCACCTTTGATTAAAGTGGGCCCCGGCTACTTCACTCACCGGACGGAGCGCAGAAGTATGACACTTCCACTTCACGCCAGTCTACTTTGAGATCGTGATAATTATACCCAAAGGGATCTGCTCATTCATGCGGCAGGAAAGACTGTTGCGTGGCCCTACCACTGTTACGTTGTTTGATCAATTTAAGTGTTGAACATTCCATTGTTGCTTCATCCAAAAATTAAATATAATAGAATTACTCATTGGCAGTCTTAACATACGACACCGACAGAGTAAAACGAGCGTTATAAACCTTACGATTATATGGCGTCGAGGGGCAGATCGATCGCCTCGCCCATCTCCGAGTAGGTCTCGTCCTCGCAGGTGTAAGTGATGACGAACTTCAGGTCGACTTGGGATACTGTGGGTGGACGAGCCAACAGCATCACCTGCGTCAGCGCCGGCGGCGGCAGGAACGGGTTGTAGGCGGGCAGCGACGTGCCCGACGCTGGAAGCAGTCGCACCTTGCAGCCCTGGAACGGCAATTCACATCACTCATGAAGTATCAGATCCAAATCAAATCAAAAATATCGATATTTTTTCGACATCCCTAATCCCGATTTGTGAACAGAAAAAGCAGCTTGTGAACTTGAATCGCCACTGCCAGGCAATGAAATTGTCTGAATCTGTTTCAGTTTTATCAAGGGTATTTAATCTTTTTAGGCTAAATGAGAAATTTTTAAGTATAAAAGTATTGTTTTTAGATAATAATAGTTCTGCCAACCTTTGGTAAGACTGCTTGGAACTTATAATCTTCGATGGGTGAGCCATTCTTGCTTGTCGTTGAAATAACGATCACATTTACGTCGGAGCGGGGTTTGTCCTTACAGAAATGTAAAACGACAGTCACCCCATCCTCCTCCTCAAAAACAGTTAATGGTGGTACTTTACTTGGATGTATGCTTTGTAGTGTTACATTGATGTCATTCAGTGGTTTAACCTCCTTTATTTTGGTATTCCTGGCAGTTTCTTTATGTTCTGGAATCAAATGGTTTTCAGCCAAATTAGCTGTCGGTGACTCTGTGTTGACATGTTTTACTTTATTTCCTTCAGGCAAACCAAGATCCAAAATAGCATCCATTGAATTGTCTGCTGCTTTTGAGGTTTTATTTAAATCTGCCCTATTAATTGTATTTGTGCTTATGTCCACCATAACATCGTCATTAAGTAGTGCTTCGGTGGTTTGCGACATCTCAGGGGAGTCGGGCTTTTCATCAGATTTCTTGATCAAGAAATCTAAATCAAACAATGCACCATTATTCGCTGGTGGCGAGTCATGCTTAGGTGAAGATTTTTCCAAAGCATTCATAGGAATTTTCTTTGATTGTTTACTGAAATAAGAAAAAGATGGGCTATGACGTAAAACAAAATTGTCAAAATACCACAGGGAAGATAGAGTGAGCTAATGCTATATAGAGACAGATTCAAAATTATTGTTAGGGAGGGGCTTGAGTGCCTGTCTCTGCACGTAAAATATGTTGCAAAATTTTGCGTCGCTCGAATCTGCGCTGACCGGGTTATGTATCGTCGTTGTCCATGGACATCGTCACCGCAAGAAAATCTACTTTGTTTTTAACTCGTTTTTAGCGTTGCGTCATCTTATGTGCTTCCTTTACGGCAATCCCACTTTACCCTCAAATGACACTTTACAATTAATATTTGGAAAAAATGTCATTTGAGTAAGAGCTAGCACTAGCACTAAGTTTAAAAATTATATTGCAATAGCAAAGGAGACAACCCTAGTTTTAAAGTATTCATTGTTTTAGGACTTACCTATTAAAATTGTCAATACGCTTGGCGTTTTCTGGTAAGGATTGTTTTAACAATTGTTCTCCAAGGCTATCTAATTCATTCCAACCCTCAGCTTTATTCTTAGCACCTAAGAGATCAATGTCGTCTGTAAACAATTATTGTTGTGAAAACACCATGCTTATAAAATGTATTGTATTCTTTACATATTGATAAACAATTTTCTTGTTTATAATATAAGATATAAATGCTTGCCATTATTCTAATAAATTGAATTAATATCAAGAAAAATGCTGTTCTGATGAAGTTTTACTTATGTAAGTGCTTATAACATATTTAAATAATTATGAATGTTGGTTTCCTAATAAACTATTTAGTTAGTTAGAGATAGAAACCCCATAAAAATAAAGATAATAAAAAAATAAACTATTCCATACTTTACAAGACATTTAAAAATGTAGTATTTTATGTTTATCAAAACTTTTTAGTTTTAACTAAATTGTTACAAACTACTACCTAAATATGGACATATGTATCTATAAAGTTCAATAGTAAAACATTCTTACCATTATGTAGTAGGGTAACAGGTTTTAAGGGCTCTGCTATATTCTGTGATCCACTTTCATTAGAAAAAATATCACCTAATTCATCTATTACATTAGATTTAGCTAACATATTTCTATTGTTTCCCATGTTTGGATTTCTTGTCGCTCCTGCGAAATCTAGAAGAGTGTCACTATTTGTTGTTGCATATTTTTTCAAACCTTTTTTAACCTTGGCCTTCTTTTCAGCAACAAAAGCATGGTATTTTTCAAATACTTCAGCTAACACATCATTTGCATGAAGAATGTCACCTGTAATTATATTGTGAAACTTTTATTACCTACAATTGCCTAAATATTAATTAAACATATAAAATTTGAAGCATTCAATAAATTCAATAATAAGTTGTTCCATAAGTAATGAGTATTTCATATTTATAAACCTTTTACCTTTATAAATTCACGTTCTTTTTAAAACAAAGGCATGAAATTAATTAAATACATTAAATTTTACAGATTTATAACTATTTTATATTTAACAAATAATTTCGGTACTTCCAGGATTCAAAATTGCATCTTTTGTATAACCCAGGCACTCTTCTCTCTTAGCTAATAAAGAAATTTGATTTCATTATTTCTTACTTAAGTGTTCATTTTGCGAGTCAGATATAGCAAGGCGCTGCAAAGCGGGTCTCAGTCGAGAGCAGCTGGCATAAAGCTCATGAATCAGCTGCTCCTCATCAGGTGAAGCTTCAGTGGCGTGATTCAGCATGTCGCGCAACAATCCAGCACTATCCAATACTGCATTCACTTCCTGAGCTCTTCGGCTATTAACCTCATTACGACGTTCTTCCTAAATGGTTGATTAGTAATTTACCTCATTACAGCATTCTTCTTAAATGATTGACTAGTAATAAATAAAACATGCATGAATTTATTTCCGACTGATTTGTGTATGAATGAAAAAGCTGGCTACAAACTGTAACAAATTAATTTGAAAGTGGAGAAAACTACTACTACTAATAAGTAAGGGCAAAACAGTTCTAATTGTAATTAACACAGACCAGGTTTAATGAATAATGAAAAGACCATGTGAAGACAATATTGTTAGTGTAAAATTAGATTTTTAATAACAGTTCAAAAACATTCAATACCATTCTTAATACTCTTAAATAGTTATTATTTAAGATTCTACCTCTTTAACCATTGTTTTAATCAACCTATTTGCATGTTGTAGATCCTCTGGTTTCTTGCTTTGCAACAATTTCTGCAATAACTTAGATTTCTCCTCATCTTCAAAGATAGCATTTTTAGCTCTCTGACGCAATTGCCAAGGTGTGTCCTCTGGAGGTAATGGGGGTGGTGTTTCTTTGACTACACCCTGATTTTTTAACATATCATAGGCTACTTTAAATTTAGTCTCTTTAGGGTATTCTAATGACCATGCATGTAATAACTGCAGAATCTAAAATTTTTAAAACAGATATTAAAATAAAAAATAATTTAGAATATAAAAACCACACATTCTTAAGTATGATTAAATACTTACTCTAGTCTGAACTTCAGGTGATGTTCTATCTGCTAAATATTTAGGAGAAACTAATTTTATCATTTCATTTAAAAATCGAAACTTTCCTACTTCAGCATGAAAATTGACATCGCAACGCCGCATACAACGATCCAGCATCGAAAGTGCAAGCAGAGCTTCACGTTCGTTTTTAGAGTGAATACGAGCAGCTAACGCTTGAGCGGCTAGCTGCGGACCGTCTGGTGAATCTTTCATTATCGTACAGAACGCTTCTAGGGCAGCGGCATCTGGATGTGGCTGGGATTCGTGGGTTGCTTTCACTGATAAAATATTAAATTTATTACCTTATGATGATCCTATATAACGAAGCTTAAAACTTGAATTTACTTACAAATTAAAGCTTCCAAGCTGGTTAACGTAACATTCATCTTTTTTTTATAATGTGTACATTTATACGTCCATATGTCTTTTCATCGTCAACTTGTTTGTTTGAAAATTTTGACAACTATGTAAGTGTGACAAGCAAAAGCTTTCAATTTAAAATAGTTGTGGTAATCTCGATATTAAATATTCAATGAAAGTTCATGATTCGTTCAAAAGTTCGGTGTATTTTCATATCAGGTCAGAAAGAAACAGAGAGAAGGTAGCACGTTTCATTTTAAAATAATAATAAAATGTTCAACTATTACCATACTATCGTTTCATATTCCTTACAATATTTTTTTGAAGGAGACTAGAATTTTTCTAGTCCATGCTTACAATATACATTTTCCAATAAACAATAGGGATTGTCAGCCGTCGATCTTAATTGTGGGTCAACAGTCAATAGGCGTACTCAGGGTTCGGTGCTTTCTTCGTCCCTATATGCTCTCTACACGTGCCATATCCTTAAAATATCTCAAGTTGAGTTTGCACCGACGACATAGCTCTATATACGATGGATCGCAAAAAAAACCCGGAACATATTCGCTTATTATCTGAACTCAATGCGCTAGGCGAAGGGACCCGAAGGGTTCATAAAGCGGTGTATTGAACGGTATACCTAAACTGACCATACATCCCGTTTTGAACGGGACTGTCCCTTTTCTCGGACATCTGTCCCTTTGTCCCTAAACAAATTTTCGGGACGCAAAATTGTTCCATTTTCCGAAACCGCGCGAAATTTTAAAACCACGCTCGTCAGACATGATCATGAGCAGTGTGGAACCGCTGTGTTGACGGTTGGTTATTCCCGGTTATTCATCGCATGCACGCGCTCTCTGTTTCCTAGTAAAGCGATGAAGAGGAGAGCGATGGGGGCATTTGTTTCTTTCAATAGGCTAGCCCCGCGCATGTATTTCGACTTCTTTATGTTTTTGTGTATTTTTTTTTAGTTTTGTAGATAATTTGAGTTTTGTTGTTTTGAAAATTTTCCCATAGTTATGCCGAAACCCAAGTGTTCATTTAATATCAACCAACAAACAAAATACCCATTTATTAATGTCAGATGCGTCTGACATCCGAAGGATTGACTGACTTCGCGTGACGATTTTAAATAAAATCGTCACCTTCTTTAATAAAAGAAATTGATTCCTCTGAGAAATATAGATATAATTAAAAACACCAATGTTGCTTTAATAAAAAATAGTGAACTATAATATTTTATAATCTTTTCGGAATAAAGAAAATTTTAAAGTTATGTTATTAAGTTATGTTATTATATCATTATTATTTATTTTCATTGTAAACCAATGTCTCGTTTTGAGTTAAAAAAAATGTGTCAGTTTAGGTATACCTGAAGAAGAGTAAAGTGATCACGTTCAGTTGTCATTCGAAAAATACGAATTAAAAATGCTTCCTACTGCCAAATTATTCGGTCAACCGAAAACAAGGGAAAGCAAGGCCAATTAATGAACTAACGGTACATAAAAATTCACAAAACGTGAATAATTGTAGTTATTGACAAAAATTTTATCGCATTGTCGGAAAACAATTGATATAATATGGCAATATATTTGTTTGGCTCTTTTAAGGCTTGTGACAGGCTTGCTAGCTCAGGGCTTTTAGACTGAAAATATGCATATTCAGCTTTTTTTGGATCCAAAAAGTCCATTTTTAGGAGCATGAATAATAGTTATGTCATGCATATTGCATTGCTATTTTGACTGACCAAAATGAGTAAAAGAGAGCAAAGTATCTATTTATGAACATAATTAATGAAATCTCATTTAATATTATATTGTTTTGTTAATTATTTCAACTATTTGTAATGAAAAGCAATTGAAACTAAGTAGCATTTTATTTACCTTATCAAAACCTGGAACTCATATTATAAACAATATTTGAATAGTTTCGAATAGGGCTTTTGAAAATTGTATTTTTTAAGGTGAATACATATTGATTTTAGGAGCATTTTTTTTAAATAGTTGGTAACACTGGATTGTGATTTGTGCTGTCAATGTCATAATCCTAATTTTCTAAAATCTAATTTCTTGAATAAAATAATCGATTGGGCAGGCTGAAGAATTTATACAATTCAAGCTATGGCCATATCCCGACTTACTCGCCTTGTTACTCAGTCCAAAAACATCTCCAGACATGAACCAATCGTACAAAAGAGGACGGCAACAACAACTCCCAGTGGTGCTATCCTACCAGAACCCGAGAAAACACCATTCGGTCTTTTGAGCATAGTATGTGCTGTTGTACCTGGCCTGTTAATTGGAGCTGCTATAAGTAAGAATATTGCCAATTTTCTAGAGGAGAACGAATTGTTTGTACCATCGGACGATGATGACGATGACGATTAAAGTATTTATAATATTCATTTAGGCATTTAAAATAAAGGCATCCGTATCGCTCACCTGGGACATATTTTTTGTTACTTTAAGTCACGTTTGAGGTAGAAATAGTAAAATTACAAATTTGATATATTTCTTTATTAATGAAGGGTTATGAAGCATCTCAATGCTGCATAGTTTATTTTGTGCTCTAGCTCATGTTATAAGATTTCTGTAAAATTTTATACTTGTTGATTTTAAAACATCTTAAGTCTTATATTTACAAACTTTAGTATGTAAGTACAGCAAAATACTTATAACATTTACAGTATTCAACATAAAGTTACTTGAATAAAATATTACATTTTTGAAACATCAATGAATTGTTACATTGTGTATTTCATATGGAGTAACATCCTTGCAGTATCTGCTTAACTAGTCAAAATGTTACTCTTGGTATAGAAATAAGTTATTATTACAATTTTTTATACCGTAATCTCAAAAAACTCATTGTATTTCTATAGTTGAAAATAGAAAATAAAGTTATTGATTGTATGAATCAATCAGTCTTTCATTGAAACATAATTAATACAGCATTTTTTTCCCTTTAAAATACAAGCAATATTTATTGTACATGTGATAATTATAATAACATATGATTATAATAATAGTTCAATATTTGGTATTGGTGTTAGAAAATTTAAGTCAGCATGAATTTTGATACAAAGAATAATATATTTATAATTACAAGAATATACTTCTATTTTCTATTAATTGGATAGGAAAAATTTAGACAGTTTAGGTTTTAGTTCCAAAACGATCTCTCCTATGTAATGAAATTGCATTATGTAAATATAAATTATAACCAAATTTTAATTAAATTATTTGGATATGTCACTACATGATTTTTTTATATATGTAGAAAATGGGAAAATATGATTTAGCAAGTCCACTAACATTTTAATTTCTATAAGAACAAAAATGAAGATTTAGTTATTGAAAAATGTTGTGCTATATAGACAGTCTTCACATGAAAATATAATTATTATTAAACAGTTATTCCCGTCATTGCGTTCTTAATATCAATAACTTACAAACTAATAAATACAAATGTAATTTTACTTTCAGATACTTAATTAAGGACATACCAACTTGAAAAAATTGGTTACAAGTTCAAATAATAATGAAATTCTTTAATATTTTAACAATTATTATTTTATTTGGTTATGTTAATCAAATCATTTCATTAATGATAAATAATTATAATAATACATCATGTAGGCCACCAATCTAAAAGAAATAAAAGCAATTTCATGCATAAATGTGCTAGATGATCCTATAGCAGAATATTATGAAATACCCATCCTTAATAAATTATGCTTCAGCTTTGTTAAGATGTTTTACCTGATAAGGATCAATTTTAGTAGGGTCATTATCATTATCATTAGTAGTAGTAGTTTGCAATTTGCTGTAAGATTCACATTAATTTTGACCTTAAAGTCCAATAAATGGTCTTGAATGTATTTAAAATACGGTTTGCAAAACTGCAAAACATATTTTAAAGCACATAAATCTATTGCATTGCAAAAACGAAATTTACTCAGGAGGTCTCTTATGCTCCCCCCAGCCATGGAAGCACTTGGTAAATCGACGGGACTCCTTGTCTTTTAAAGTGAGGAAGAGTTTCCTAGGGCGGTCTGGTTGCATTGTCTTCATGTGTTGAATGTAGACCTAAAAATTGAAAGTATTTGCATTACTTACTATATATATTAAGTTTTTAGATTTCCAAATTATCTGAACAACAATTAACATGGTGCAGTGGTACCAAAATATAAGCATTGAAAGTCAATTATATGTTGTTATTACATTAAATAAATTAGTATTTTAATATCAATATGTGATAAGTCCCATATAAAGTGGTTAGAATCAATGTATATTTTTACCTGAGCGGATTTGTAGGCGAGTTTGATCTCTACCTCGGAGCATTTGGCGCCAAGCCATAGGAACACTTGCTCGCCATTGTCCAGTATCATTATGTCGTCGTCTGCCAAATCGTCCTATCCATAAAAACATACCTATTAAACAACCCGTTAACCAGCAGCAAATTCCCTAGACTTTTCTCTGTAAGCTTGGCATCAATTAAATTAAGTCAAAAATTTTTTTTATCGAAAATAAACTAATGATATTGTATAAATTGAACAAAAAAAAAGAAACAATTAAACTAGTTTACAACAAGAAAATTAGGCCCAAAATCAAAACAAAAAACATAAATAGACACAAATTACAAAATATCTATAGAAAATTAAAATTAAACATGAATTCACTGCTTTAGAGAAGAAAAGCAAAGAAACATATCTTGTTCATATCTTTCATATTATAAATATTTAGAAAGAAAATTTCACCTGATTTTGGAAGTGTAATTTCTCAAACATATTTATAATTATTTTCTTTAGATAGTATTTTACTGCTTTGCAACAACGACTTTTAAGATTATCATCAAAATATAAATTGGATGCATCTATACAGATAAATAAAATTGGAGTGTTTGTAATATTAAAATAACCGCTTTTTACTAAATGCATATGGATGTATACACGGTATATATACCAAAATAACATTTTTTACAATTTTTGTGTGTCTGTCTTTCTGTTTGTTCCGGCTGATATCTGAAACGGCTGGACCGATTTGGACGGGACTTTCACTGGCAGATAACTGATGTAATAAGGAGTAACTTAGACTTAACTGAGAGACGCGGGACACGGCTAGTCACCAATATGTAGTCACCTATGGGGCATTCCACGCGAAGCGGACAGGTAAAAAAAGTTGATGTCTCCGATTTTAGTAATATTTGATTATATTATACCTATATGTGCCCTTAATCCAGATACAAAATATTTTTACAGTATAAAATGTAGTTTACGATTTAGAGAGCTTTAAAAATGTGACTAACTGGCAGGTACGCGCCACTTCGAATCCCATTATCCGGTATTGAAAAGATAAATGGAAATAAATGAAGTAGTCACGTGTATGCTTAATTGAATGAGCTTCCTAATTGCATTTTTGGATATTAAACAAAAATATTTTTTTTGGAAAAAAATCATGTTCAAACTTTTTAAACTTGAATTTCACAAAGTTGGACCACTTTAATTTTTTTTATTTTTTTTCTAAACAAGCACATATAGGTATAACATAATCAAATATTACTAAAATCGGAGACTTCAACTTTTTTTACCTGTCCGCTTCGCGTGGAATGCCCCCTATGTCAGATGCTTTCATTTTTAAGCATACAAAAATTGCTTATGATTGTGTTTCTGATATAGCGAGCCAAAAACTTCACTTTAATTTGCGGAGCTTTATAGAAAGCAATTAAAATTAAAACTGGAAATTAATAATTAAATTAACTCTAAAATTAGAACTGAAAGCAATTAAAACTGGAGCAACAGTTGTCACAATGTCAACTTCTAGTGCGCTCTACTGGCAAATTTTTGGGATCCAGTTTTCGTTATATATTACGGTTTTACTTGTTTGTCTCACCTGACAGAAATCCGTGCATTTTTCTGAGACGGTGAAGTAGCCCTTTTCGTTGGAGCAGCGGAAGAGGCGCGTGTAGTTCAGATAGTCGGCGTCAGTGTCATAAGGTTTGCGACCGCCGAGCGCCACCCAAAAGAAGTTGTCCGGTTCGTTGCCCTCCGTCAGCACCTTTTCAACAATTGATACGTCAATGCGGCAAATCTTTCATTTATAGTAAAGTTTAGGGGGGTTCTACAGGGTCCATGCATCTCCATTCTATACTTTAAGCTTTATATCATTAATACAATTAGAATTAGACAATAAATTAGTTCGCTTTGCTTTATATAGGTACTCGCTTTTAATAAATTATAGTACATTTCGCTTATATTATATAGAGTACATTTTGCTTTATTTTTATGTCTTAATAACATCAATTCTTACTCAATCTACTAGGTTACTCTTAATAGGTCTCGACTGAGGGGCGTATAATGATAGCGGTAGCGAAACACTTCCAAAGCAAACGTATAAATTCAATGCACATCGCTCGCCTAACCTAGCCTATTCTTATTTAAAAGCACAGCGACAGTTTTGAAACCTCTACGGCATTGCCAAGTGGTCGGCTGTACCTGTTCTTCGACCACGACCGTAAATACTTAGTGGACTTTGACGTGGGCTTCTTAAGGCTTCAAAGCGTTAGCGTAGCTGCGAACGATGGATACCCGGGGCGTCATATATGACAATATTAACTCAACGCACAAATAACCTTACACTGCGATAATGTTAAGGAAGTCAAAGTTTAAATCCGGTACCGTGTAATGTGGAGTACACATTATATGTGAAACAAATTTTTACCGATTTATCGCGTTTATTTTTAATTTTAATTCCCGACGTTTCGAACCCTTTACAGCGTTCATGGTCACGGGACAAACTGAAAACTAAATCACTAAAATTAAAAAACAAACTAAAATTAAATCCAGGCCCAAACAAACCACTACTTCAAGACAAGATACAATCAGCTCCCTCTGCATAGATCGGACACAAAATTAATAATTCAAAAACTGACGGTAGCCCGGGTTAACTATGACAATCAGACGTCTAACACCTCAGTCTGTCCCGTGACCATGAACGCTGTAAAGGGTTCGAAACGTAGGGAATTAAAATTAAAAATAAACGCGATAAATCCGTAAAAAGTAGTTTCATTTATAATGTGTAATCGCTAAATACAAGAAATTATTATACACATTATATGATTTAAAAAATGTAGCAAACGTTGATGGGTCCCTCAATCGCAGCGCCATCTGGATTTTCACTACCTACTACTGCATTTTTCTTTGCCTAAGACCGACCGCGTCATCTACACAAAAAGTAACCCAGCAATATAAGAAAAAAGTAACGCAATACTACCTGAAGGCTGACCCAAGGATTGTTGAACTTCTCCTCTGCGATCTGCTCGATGAGTCGCGCCGAGTCGGCGTCACTTCCGTTTCCGATCCAAACGTACACGATGGACGAAGACTCGTCACCGCTCCCCTCAAGCGGTACGTTCAGAATGTAGCTGCGCGTAAACGAAAGGAAAAAACACAACTGTTACGATACAAACGTGCACGCAATCGGACAGAATTGTTCTAAGAAGGCTTTGTATCACCTTATTGTACTACTAATGAGAACATAGGAGCTGAATAATCGCTTACTGCTATGAGCTTCAAAAAAAGGGGCCCCCTGGCCAATACTTTTGCATATGTACACGAAAATTGTGTGTCTCATAAAAAAGTATTCTCTCCTAAGAATTCTAAACATGTTATAAGCATAATAATTATTATTAATACATTATTTTAAGGTGACGTGTGACGTGACGCAATTTTGTGTATAAAATAAAAAATAATCGAAGATTTGAATTGACCCAGAAGTAAATAAACAAAATATATTTTCGCCGGGATTTGTTCTGAATGTGTGTATAAATATCTAGATGTCAAGTAGTAATCAAGTGTGTTTTACTGAACGGTATTTGTATACAAGGTCTGAAAAGTTACAATCCCACTCACCAGAAGGCGCTGTTGAGCTGTGTGGCGTCCGCCTTTACCTGAACGAGGCGGGTGCAGAGCGCCGAGCCGTTGCTTCGGAGCTCGAACAGTTCTACGGGCGGTCGCACGCCCTCCTGCCGTATAAGTGACAATTATCATTAGGAACTCTATCAACTTACTTTCAGTAGGTGATGCAACAGCTCGTATGGAAAACGCCTCGTTTTTGTTAATATAGGAACGGGGAGTACACGGCTTTTATTTACAAGTCGTTATGGAAGTTACGAAACTATGTAACTAACGACCGTTCGTTGAATATAGGAACCGGGCATTAGTGGCTGCGACGTCGACGCCGGACCTTAAGGTGGTGGACGCAGATCCCGATTGCGACAACTAATTACTAAGGAGAGTTTTTGCCTAAATAAGCTCGGTTAGACTTTGTTAGCATTGTCCGTTGTACATACATACATACATACATGTGAGTTTATACATAAGGATGAGCTGCTTTGTCTTTCCACAAAGTTATTAAAAATATTTTCAGGTATGTAGTCTCTCACAAATCGACGTAACTAGATATTTGCTGTAATCCCCAAAATATGATTCACCAAGAACTCTTTTAAATAATATTAATAAAATCATAACTGCAAAAGTATCGATCGTAGAATTTTTAATTTGATAATATTTACGGCGTTTTTCTTTTTTTCACATGAAATTTGTAAGATGTACAGCAAATAAGTTTTCTTATCGCGATATTTCTCCCACCGCTAGTCGAAAGTCCCTTGCTAATGTACTATTGCCGGCCTATACGTATTCGAACAATTTTCCTAAGAGAGTTTTAGGCGGACTACACACGTATTTGAAACATTTCCCTAAGAGAGTAACAAGCGTACTGCACATACATTCGAAACGTTTCCTTAAGAGGGTAATAGGCGGACTGTACACGTATTCGAAACATCCTTACTAATATTATAAAGGCGAAAGTTTCTATGTATGGATGGATGTTCGTTACTCTTTCACGCAAATACTATTGGATGGATTTTAATGAAACTTTACAATAATACAGCTTATACATCAGAACAACACATAGGCTATAAATCTACATAGATATTTTAATGTATATCTTCCTGTGTGAATGTTACGCCTTCGGCCTATTCTACTAGCAGCAGCTAGTTATACAATTATATACCGTCCGCTGGTTCCTCTTGCCGTCGCGGACGACGAAGCGCCGCCGGAAGTGCGCCATGAACTTGAGGCTCTCCTGCTGCTGGTGGGTGCGCACCACGTCCAGCCGCCGGCACAGCTGCTTGAACTTGCGCTCCAGGCCGAAGGTGAACGTGAGCCAGCCCATGTTGGGCGCCTTGCGGCCCTGCCAGAAGTACACCACCCACGTGGCGCCCTCGCCGTCCTCGCCCTCCGCCTCGCACCACGTCTCCGCGCTCTCCTCCTCCGCCTATGATTGTAATGATGACGGCAAAAAAATCAATAACTGCCTACTCGCGAACGGTTTATGCGTGTACAGAATATGGATGAGGTGTCCGCGCACTCTTAAAACTATTTTTCGTAAAATCTTCACTAAATCGTGGCTTGTAAAATAAACTACAAGCTGACACAAAGAAACCCTTGTTTAAAGTCATGCTAATAACAAGAAAAAACTGATGTATCAAAGGTGCTGTAAACAAATGATAAAGTTACAAATTTGTTGACAGATTTAACGTAATTAATATGCGAACTAGGGTATCGAACTTCCGCAGAGGCGGCAAATTCGAACAACTTATTGGAACGAGCGCATTTCCATTCCGTTCGTGTCCCGATCCCGTTGAACGGTATCACGGACCGAACGAACGCATTTCCATTCGCCGCTCACCTCGGCGGGCAGCACGTATCGGCAGAGGAACACGTAGCAGTCGTGGCTGTGGAACACGCCCAGCTCGGTGTCGGGCAGCCGCACGAAGTGGCGCCCCTCCAGCACGAACGCCTCCATCGCCTCCAGGTCCTCGTTCCACTCGTCGGCGAGCGCCTTCGCCTCGGCGGCGGGCATCGCCGGCTGGCGCGGCGTGAACAGCGCGGACAGGTCCGTCCTGCGGCGCGAGCGAGACGGCGCTACGTCAATGCGCGTACAAATGCAAGGAGCGAAAGAGATGCTAGGTCGACTGTCAGGCACGCAGCTATCGAGACGGCGCTGTGTCAATACGCGTACAAATGCGAGGAGCGAAAGAGATGCAGCTAGGTCGACTGTCAGGCGCGCATCTATCGAGACGGCGCTGTGTCAATACGCGTACAAATGCGAGGAGCGAAAGAGATGCAGCTAGGTCGACCGTCAGGCGCGCATCTATCGAGACGGCGCTGTGTCAATACGCGTACAAATGCGAGGAGCGAAGGAGATGCAGCTAGGTCGACCGTCAGGCGCGCATCTATCGAGACGGCGCTGTGTCAATACGCGTACAAATGCGAGGAGCGAAAGAGATGCAGCTAGGTCGACCGTCAGGCGCGCATCTATCGAGACGGCGCTGTGTCAATACGCGTACAAATGCGAGGAGCGAAAGAGATGCAGCTAGGTCGACCGTCAGGCGCGCATCTATCGAGACGGCGCTGTGTCAATACGCGTACAAATGCGAGGAGCGAAAGAGATGCAGCTAGGTCGACCGTCAGGCGCGCATCTATCGAGACGGCGCTGTGTCAATACGCGTACAAATGCGAGGAGCGAAAGAGATGCAGCTAGGTCGACCGTCAGGCGCGCATCTATCGAGACGGCGCTGTGTCAATACGCGTACAAATGCGAGGAGCGAAAGAGATGCAGCTAGGTCGACCGTCAGGCGCGCATCTATCGAGACGGCGCTGTGTCAATACGCGTACAAATGCGAGGAGCGAAGGAGATGCAGCTAGGTCGACCGTCAGGCGCGCATCTTTCGAGACGGCGCTGTGTCAATACGCGTACAAAAGTGGAGGAGCGAAGTGAGCATCGCCAACGTCAGGCGCGCATCTATCGAGGCAGCGCTGTGTCATGCAAACGTAATGTGCGACAGATTTGGAAGTGGTTTGGTTGTCTGGTTCGAATATATGGTTAAGGTGTTCATAACGAATTGTATTGTTTTTAATTTGAATATTTAAAAGTAAGCGTCCAGTAGTCGACGATAAATTTTGCACATCGACCTTTGGAAAGAGAAAATCGGCTAATTTTAATCTTACGGGGTGTACAAAAATTATTCATATATTTAATGACTGCTCGGAGCAGTACTTTACTGCAGCTATATCGTTTAATATATTTAGAGACTTTTAGGCTAAATTAACGTCCCTATAGTTATCTTTTCTTCTCGTTTAGCATCGCCAGGGTACATATATCCACGCTTACTTAGTCTCCTGCTGCTTCGCCCAGCTGGCGAGGTCTGCGCCGGTGCGGGCGACGGACTCGGCGGTCCGGGTGAAGTCGACCGCAATCACCTCCTCCCAGCCGAGGAAGTAGGTCTTGAACACCTGCCGGAAAGAGCGGCATTTAGCTGTGGCACGGCCACGCAACGGCTTCGGCTGTTGCACGAAGTGGGTAAGTGCTGCGACCTCGCAGAAGACCGGACTGAAGCCGAGGTTCGCCGAGGTTCAGGCTAGGCGCCTCGTGCGCCAGGCCACCTCAAGTCCGTCGGATCTGTGAAGGCCCCTAAGGCCAACAGTGGCTCATCCAGCCCAAAAAAAAAAACCGGGCCTACTTCATTAAAAGGTAGCAACGCATCTGCAACTCTACGGGCGTTGTAAATGTCCATGGGCGGCGGTTATCACTTAACATCAGGTGAACCGCCAGGTCGCTTGCCACCTTCTCGCATAAAGGAAAAATTATGAGGCAGTCATATGATGCTTGCTGATGAATGGTTTTTTTTAAACGTTTTTTTTAAACCTTTATGGATGCCCCGCTACCGAAACGGGGAAATGACGGGCGTATGGAGGAGTCCCGGACAGAACTGGTACAACTATTGCCTTTTCAAACCTCCTCTCCCCCATTAATAGGTCCAACCATATGCTGCTATGCTGATGCAAATGGGCCGTTGACCAAACACAACATAAGGATGAAGCAATATTCCACTGAAGAAATGCACTGTGTGAATATGACATAAATCGATCGACTGGTAAAGATCCAAATGAATACTTTTCACAAATCTCTCAACCTGAGAGGGTAGACTATACCATAAGATTGAATTGTGCTAATATGACCTCCTGATTTACGAGATCAAAGTTTTTACTATTTAAATCTCGATTGAAATTATTTCACTTTAAGCGTGGGCGGGATGAGAGTCGATCTTACACCGACGGTCCTTAATTCCACGTAATGGAAATTTGTTTTTATTTAACGTTTATTAATTTCTAACTCAACAAAAGTTTAGTTGCTTAATCGATTCTAAACTTTACACCGATGATTACAAAAGATCTGTGTAAGCGTGTGGTATTGGAGGGGCCGTGCTGTGGTCCGGACCTGGGTTTCGGTGCCCTCCTGCAGCCTGGTGACGAGGGCGTGGGCCGGTCTGGTGACCATGTTGAACAGCTCTTGGGCCAGTTTCACAGCGGCCGCTCTGACCAGCCGCGAGGACTTTTTGCCGAACCTAAAGCAAATAGTAATACACACAAATGGTTACACACATTAGTCGTGGAGAATAAAGAGGCAGGCATAGGTAAGGGTTTCACTTTTAACGATCCTTGCATACCTCTTTTGTATTGTATTTGTATACTTCGTCTGCGTTGTGAGTTTTGTGCGCAGTTTAAGGTTTAAATTACAAGTACTGTGCGCAGGGCTTAAGTTGCAGGTTTTGTGCGTAGTGCAGGGTTTGGGTTGTGCGTCTTGCAGGTAGTGTGGGTTTTGCGTTGCGCGGGACTTTTTTGTGGGGAATACGGGTTTGCGTTGTGAGTTTGGTGCGTAGTGTGTTTGCGTTGTGCCGTGCTTTCAATGTGCTGTGTTTGCGTTCTGCGGCGTTTGCGTTGTGCCTCGTGTGCGCATTGCGGTTTGTGCGTACCAAACGAAGACGTCGATGTGCGCGTCCAGTATGTACACGTTGCGCGTCGCCAGCACGTCCCTGGCGAGGGGCGCGCCCTCCGGCTGGGGCAGCTCCAGGTAGCCCATGCCCAGCTCCACGCGGTACAGCCGCGGCGGTGCCCACGCGAAATCCTCCGCCACGTGCTCCTGCCAAATGCCAAGTGCCAGTGACGAAGATGAACGACGGTGCGGCAATCAGCCGTTTAGCTTAGTGGTTAAAGCGTCTGGGCGCCAATCCCGAAGACCTGGGTTCGATTCCCACAGCGGCGAGAAACTTTACGTCCTTTGGTTCTACAAATTTTAATGTTTCATCGAAATGCTGAGATTGGTACTATAAAAATTTTAATTTGAATCCATACCAAATTTCGACCTTAACCTAAATGTAGTCGTAATAGGCGCAGTAACCGTTACAGCGTCATTCAATACTTATATTCATTATTTATTGCAATAATTTTTTTTATTGTGAAAATGTGACCAACGGACGGGCGGTTCACCTGATGTTAAGTAATAACAACCACCCATGGACATTTGTAACACCCGTAGAATTGCAAATGCGTTGCCACCTTTAAATAAAGTGGGCCCCTCATTCTACGAAGTTCCTCAGAAGAGCCTGCCAATATAACAGCAGAAGGTACTGCGTGGTCCAAAAGTTGGCAAAGTCCTCACTTGAGGCACGAAAGGTTCCTCATCCTCGTAGCCGAGGATCTTCCAGAAGGCCCGAGGTTCCTTCCCTGGCGGCTCGGCGATCAGCTCCGCTTTGTTCTTGCGCTCCTCTTTGTTGATCTTCTCGGCGAAGAGGCGTGCTTTAGACTTCAGCGTGTTCTTCGCTTTCTTGCCATTCCTAATTATACAAGTACATCATTATTAACGAAGAATAAATCCGACTTCAAAAACCACCACATACCACCAAAATAAGAGAAATTGCGAATACAATGCAAAAAGATTTTTTTAAAATCGGTTCATAATTGATACAGTCCTGGTGTAACAATCATAAAAAAAACCAAATCGAATTGACTAACTCTTCCGTGTGCTATAAAATTTCCGCATATTAACTAATAGTTCATCTCTTTCGACAAAAAAGCTCATATTATAGTACGGTTTTCACAATGCCAAAAGGTGTATAATAAAAGGTAAAATTCAAGTTGCACCCTTTATCCTGCTTTGGTGGAGTCGGCACAATATGTGAATCATGTACTTTGTCTGCCTGAAGTCACCCCTGGGAAATGAACATGTGTGTGGCATCTTATTTGTCCCGTGTAGAAACCCCTGACGTATAAGCTAATAGCTTAGCAACTGCGCCTCCGAGTAATCTTGAGCTTCTAACATAATATAAGAGTAAATAGAATGTTAATAATTCAATACATTTGGTTGCTTCTACAATATGTATATTTAGTGCGAAGTGATTCTTCAGTGTTGCTGCATATGGGCGAGAGGGCCGTAGAAGTTACCAGAGATAGATAGCGAGGCCTGTGTCCAGCACGAAGACGTATCTGGGGTCCAGGGAGGAGGCTGCCACCGGAACTGGCTCCAGGTGGATGCTGCTCCCGGCGCCGTGCACGCGGTACAGTCGCGTGACGTAGTGCTGGAAAGTATGCTCTCGTTACAAAGCGACGCACAAGCTAAACGAAGCCTAGCCTAGCCTATTCGGTTGTGTTCGACTCTATGAAATGGAAAAAAGGTAAAAATTTCAAAAGAAAAAAATTTCCTTATTAAATGAAGGCTTGTTTTAAGCTCTAGTTCTCTCAAAAAACTAAACCACCGGATCACTAAACTAAAGTCATCCAGAGAAGAACACAAGCAGAGAGCTCTGCGGTCTATTAATCTAAATAAAAGATATCTTTGCACAAAATGCTTCTATGAAAAATATTAATAATTAACAAGAAAGCCACATATTTACTTGCGTTTATTTCAGGTCAACGCTAGAAATGAGCAATTGTAACTATGAAGAATTAACACCTTAGTATGCTTCATATCATATCATTCAAAATTATTATAAATTTATTAGAAAAAATTTTCACCGCTTTATTAAAATTGGCGAAAGTTGTAAATCGTATACAAACAGACAGGCGACAAAAGGTCAATGAAGTTACGTTTAATGATTAGCGACCCGCCCTGGCTTTGCACAGGAACGGATGTTAAATCCGTGTAGAAACAGACAATTTTCTTTAAATGATATTGACTTTCATAGTGATATCTGCACTTAATATTGTATATGTATATATTATATTTAAAGTTGTAATTAAAAGTAAATTTAATTTATTTTGTGTTATTAAACATTTTTTTAATAAAAACCAGGTTTCCACGCAGCAGCCTCGGCTGTTGCACGAATGGGCAGGCTCGTCCGGGTATGTACCACGACCTCACAGAAGACCGGCGTAAAGTGGAAGTATAAAAAAAAATTTCGCGTTTCGTCTGCTGAGTGAGATGGCCGGAGCCCAATTTTCAAAACGCATCTGCAACCCTCGGGTGTAGCAGATGTCCATGCGTGGCGGTATTCACTTAACATCGGGTGAACCGTCCGCTCGCTTGGCAACTATTCACATAATAAAACGGTAGCAAAGGTCAGGTCGCTTACCGGGTCGTCGACGGTGAAGAATCCCGAGGGCGTCCTGCTGCCCTGGATGTAGACGGGCGGCGTGGGGAACAGCGCGAGGAACTCTGGCGTCTCGTCGCCCTGCTCGTGCCGCTGCGTCCGCTTCGCGCCCAGCAGATTCCGTAGGTTCACCGCGTGCATCGCCGCGCACGCGCCCTTGTCCAGCTGCCGTCAAAGTCTATTGCCATCAGTTGCCAAGTGCACGGAATAGGGGCCGAGGCGCGCTTGATCGTCTTCATGTTAGGCTATAACCGAAAACGGTTCGGGGAAAAGCGTGGTCGACTTTAATCCCTTACGTAGAGTCTATTGCCATCAGTTGTTATTGACTTCACGGAGTACGTGCCGAGGCGCGCTTGTCTTCGTGTCAGGTTATGACCGAGAATGGTTCGGGGAAAAGCGTGATCGATTTTTCGTAGTCTTTTACCATCAATTGCTATAGAGTCCACGGAATACGAGCCGAGGCGCGCTTGTATTCATGTCAGGCTATGACCGACAACGGTTCGGGGAAAAGCGTGGTCGAGTTTAGTCGCTTACGTAGAGTCTATTGCCATCAATTGCTATAGAGTCCACGGAATACGGGCCATGGCGCGCTTATTCGATTTCATATCAGGCTATGGCCGACACCGGTTCGGGGAAAAGCTTGGTCGATTTTACATAGAGTCTATTGCCATCAATTGCTATAGAGTCCACGGAATAGATGCCGACACACGCTTGTTCTTCTTGCCAGGTTACCAACTGACAACGGTTTGGGAAAAAGCGTGCCTGAAATTAGTCGCCATCATGTAGTGTCTATTGCCACAAACGGCAACGAGCCCGACGCTATACGCTCAACGGAAGATGAAACGGAATAAGAATTAGGCGACGATCCTACTATGAATTGGGGAACTTTTTTAGAGTCGCTGTCAAAGTCATAGGCTATTGCAATAAACACAATCACAACCAAAGTACCCAGGATTTAAATATTACTTAACGCAATTTGAGGGGAGAAGGGGGCTTTACGGTGCGTTACAGAGGTGGGAGGTTCGAACAACGCGGTACATAACATTGGTTTTGTATTTAAATAAAAAAATAGGGATTTAAAATCAAGAGAGTTTAACGAATCGCACTTGCGTCATCTATTACCGTCGCCGCCAACGGGCTTGAACCTTTGCTTCAAAGTTTGGAGGGAAGCGTGTTAAGGGTCCATCAGTCCTGTGGACTTAGTGGTACTTTTTTCCCCTTAACCATTTGGGTTGAAGTGGTCATTGATAATAAAACCCACTACAATACGACCCCGCAAGAAACACGGGCACACACGTTTCTGTCCAAATGCAATAATATGCAGTCAAATCCTTACTAATATTATAAACGCGAAAGTTTGTATGTATGGATGGATGTTTGTTACTTTTTCATACAAATACTACTGAATGAATTTTAATGAAACTTTACAATAATATAGCTTATACATCAGAATAAGATATAGGCTATACTTTATATAAATATTTTTTTGTATATCTGTCTTTCTGTCTGAATTACATTATGCACTCACCGTTGCCTTCGATCCAATCCAGAAGTGAATATCCCAGGATAGTTGGCCTTGCTCCTCTATAGATGTTTTCAGTATGATATAGCAGTCGCCTTCAAAGAACTTGCCATGCGCCACCTCGGAGAAAACAAAAAAACAATATTTTTCTACCAGTCAACGCTGAAGAGTACAGAAGTCTGTACTCTAGAATTGTATGAGTTGGAGTTTTTGTAAATTCATTTGAGATTATCACAATAACACTGGTTGCAGATTGTCTTCACAGCTTTTAGTAGACTGTATCTCGTCTAGTAAATGTTACGTACAAGTGAATGTTAGGAATTAAGAACTTAGTTCGTAACTTCTAACATTTAGGAATTAATTTTCAAAGTCAAAGTCAAAATCTTTATTCAATATAGAAGCATTATACTTACTTATTGATTGTCAAAAAAACTCTACTACTACTACTAATAAAGTATTTTCGAACGCTTGCATATATTATTATTATCAACAAAGGTAATGAAACGGCAATAAATGGCTAAGTTGTTGACCACTAAAACCTAAAACCTATTAATTAAAGGAATAATTATTGACTCGGTGGCGCCGTTGCTAAGCTATTCGTTTTGGCGTCGGGGGTCGTGGGTTCATTTCCCGCACGGGACAAGTATATTTCTGACCCACGGTAATACACGGATAATGGTTCCAGATCTGGGTGGTCGACGTCAGACAAGCGGCGCCGATCGTAAAAAAATATAGCCAAAACGTTTACAACATAATTCACATGCCAACCCCTCTTAGGTGGGACAAGATGATAATGATGATGAAAAGAATAATTGTAAACATTTGCCGCTCACCTCGTCGACTGGTGCCGGTATGAAGTTCTCGATCTCCCACACCTGCAGACCGGCAGTCTGGCCCGTGTCCTCGTCGAAGAACTCCGAGTAATCCAACGGCGGCTTCTCCAAACTCTCGTCCCAGCGTTTAGGTCTGATCGTATTGTAAAAAATTTGTAGAAAATGTACGAAAAGATTGCCGCCGCTGTGGGAATCGAACCCACGTCTTCTTAATTCAATATACTTGAGCCACCTAATATAAAATCCCGGCACCGATGAAATTGTTTATCGCAATTTTAAATGCTCAGCGACGAAGACAAACATCGTGGGGAAACCTGCATATTTTTAAAATAATAGCTAAAATAAAAAAGGGAAGATATGTGAGGCATGACAAAATGTAGTGTGTTCGCGTGGTGGACTATATCCTAATATGCTCTACAAATGGGTTGCCACCTTATAATTAAGTGGGCCCCGGCTACCTCACTCACCGGACGAAACGCAAAAGTATAACTCTCACATTTTTTTTTTTCAAAGAGGTTCCTAACGGGCCAATGGTGACAGTTGCCGCCAGTGAAATGGGAATACTGGAGGATCTAATGCAAACCTTTGAGTGTGGACTCCTGCTATGCCAGTTATTTATTTTACTATATACTCGTATTCTTTACATAAATTCTATATATAAAACCATTTCGTAAATCAACACAAAACAATAGGGTTAGTATAATTTTTGAGCGCCTCAGCTATTTATCAAAATTATTTAAGTCTTAAAATATCTACATCTGAAGAAATAACAGGTTTTAAAAAAAACCTACTATCTCAACTTTACGCTAGACCCGGACGGACCAGCCCATTCGTGAGACGGCGTGGCCCTACCACAGGTGTGTTAACGAAGTCTTCACTTACTGGTCGGCGTGGTGGGCTCAGCGGAGGCCGCGCCTGCTAGCTGGAGTTGCGCTTGCAGCGAGAAGTCTATGTTGTAGTACTGGAGGCCGGCTCCCCTCGGTTGCTCCACCGGCTTGGGGGGCATCACCAGGTCTGGGTTGCCGTGCAGTTGGAGGCTCTCGAGGTCGCTCAGTAGGTGCACCGCATCCGGCAGAGTGATCAGCTTGTTGCAGCTCAGGTTCAGCTTCTTCAGAGCGCCGCAACTGCAGCCATTGGTTGGGAGTTACCAGTTGATTACATTATTACTTAATATTTTAAACGCGAAAGTTTGTATGTATGGACGTTTCTTGCCCTTTCAGGCAAAAACTACTGAGTGGATTTACAATAATATTGCTTATACGTCAGAATAACTCATAGGCTATAATTTATAAAGGTACAAGGGTCTCTCAAAGTAACTCTGTTTGTCTGTTACGCCTTCACGACTGAACCGCAGAACAAATTTTGATGAATTTTGGTATTAAAATAGACCTTGGAATAGAAAATCTCTCACCTCGAACAGTTTTAAATACTTGATACTTTAAATAGGTGATATCATCTGATTCGACCGGGAAATGTGCATTTAGCATTATGGTATATAAAGTTATTGCAATATGAAATTAATAACAAATAATTATTTATCTTGTAACGAGGCTAAAGCCCGGTTTACAATAAACGAGTACTGTCGGGAGGAATGCATCATAAGAAATACTTTGATAGGAGTCATAATTTATGATATTTCTTAAGCTGGATTTTCACTATAGTAGAGTAACCCCCACAAGACTCCGCAGAGATCTCTCTGAATATTCGGACAGTGCTGACGCAATTTTTTTTAATCTAGATGACCCGATTGACCTTGTAAAAATAGAAATTCAATCTATTCGAATACCAATGTGGGAATGTGCTCGGGTCACACGTTCACTTTCTGGTAGGAATAGAGTATATCAAGCGACCTTGTTCCGAGATTAGTATAGTGAAAATCCGACTTAAACAAAACGGTGGACTGAGAAAATTATTTTAATCGATGTCCACCTTGAAATTGTCGATATGCGACTGTCATTACGGCGAAAAAGATTATCGAGAATTGGGTGACAATTCTTAATTAGAGGGGGCATTGTAGTGTTTAACGACAGCGGTTCCCATTCAAATGTGGCTTCCGCTATCAAGATTTTGTCTACTCTAGAAGGCGAGGTAACTTAATGTATGAACACATGTAAGATATAGCACTACATAGTATAAAACAAAGTCGTCCCGCTGTCTGTCTGTCCCTACTTTTTTTACGGCGGTTTTTTTTACTAGTTAGTGATTCAAATGGAGGGTTCATATGTATAATATGAACACGTGCGAAGCTGGGGCGGGTAGCTAGTTAATATATAAAACAAAAAATATAATTAATGCATATTAATGTATGAACATATACATGCGAATGCATCGTGCTGAAACTATTCGTGCGTAACGATCAACTTTTCTTTAGTCGTATTACGCATGTCGAATCGCGTGACAGTAATTGATATTGGGCGTCATTACGACGCTCTATTCATTGATAGAGAAAATTCGCGACATTCATACATTATTTGAGCACTGAAACTTTTCAGCGGCTAGGAGCGGAATTAGGTTTAAGCTTTCTAATGGGCAGAGAATTAGTTAGACTATATAGTAATCCCCCCCTCCCCTCCGCAATTATTGCATATGTGCACGTTAAATTTGAGTACGGTTCGAAAACAATATTTGAAAAAACGTATTTACTTGTCCCAAAGTTATATAACACTTGTAAAGTTATTTTAGCTACATCGAGCCCATCTATTGACGTTAGAAGTCCATATTTTTACTAACGAAAAACAAAACCGACTTCAAATATCTCGCTCGGTAATCATTTTATATGTGATTTTCGGGAGTTCCCCAAGTCTTTCCGAGGCCCAAGGTCCAATACCGATGAAATTACTACGGGACAACATGTAACAAGCACCAACTTTCAAATAAAAAAAGAACCATCAAAAAAATACATTCGAATTGAGAACCTCGTCGTTTTTTGAATTCGGCTGAAAAATCACAATTCCATACTATCGACCCACCGACACAGGCCTTCCGGTATCATCTCCAACGAGTTGTTCGCGGCCGAGAACACTTCGAGGCTGCCCAGCTTGCCTATTCCGGACGGGATGCCCTCGAAGTCGAGCTGGTTGTCGTCGACGTGCAGCCGCCGGAGATTCTGCAGCTTGCACAGCGAAGCGGGCAGGGCGGCCAACTTGTTGCGCGAGAGGTTGAGGCATTCCAACTTCTGCCAGATGTCCATTGCTACGGACGAGGTGCCATTAAAAAAAATGTTAATAACTTGTCAAAAAGAACCCTCGAGGTCTCCGGTTTAAGAAGATTGCTTCGCAAACAAGCAGCTGATTTGTTAAGTATGTTTTTAACGTAAATATTCTTGAGTTCCTTTTAATCCATTGTTTAAATTGCAGCTTTTAAAAAAATATAAAATTACATTATCTTGTATCTTGTATTAACTGATGTTTTTGCTTTCAGTCCCCAGACTATTAAAGCTTCATCTGACGCAGAACCGGTGGGCTAGCCAGAACCCACGGGTTGGGCCCTCCGCTGTGGGTAGGGCCGCGCATGTGCTCATGCGTGCGTTTAACTACGACATGTCATCTAAGGGCCATCGAAGTTGCGGTGCGGACCGAGACCCCGATGGCCGTCGACTGTGTTTTTAGCTAATCGGTGGCTGGGGGCGGTGAGAACCGCCCTGGAACGCGGGTGTACCTTGTGTACGCGTTGTGTTGGTCTCGCCGTGCTCGGAGGCGAGGGCGAACTAGTGTGTTTGTTGTTGCACTAACTGTGGGTGTAGTGTTGTCCGGCGGGACCCCCGGCGGTGGGTCCGGCGTATCTAAGTCCCCTTCCTCGACCGGGTCGATGAGGACGTTTCGCGGGCGACGCTTGTTGACGTTCGCGTTTGTGTCGGGTTGGTAATTTGCTGCGCTTACCACCAGTGGGTTGGGATGATGTTCGGCTCTATCGAAGAACCGTTTGGTCAGGTCTTTAAAATATTCGCGAATCGTCGGGAGTCTGCAATCGCTGTGCAGATCGACGTTGCGTTGATACCACTGCGCACCGGTTGCACGGCGGATGAACTTATTTTGTACTATTTGCAGCTTGTACAAGCGAGTAGGGTGCGTGTGGGCGAAGATCATGCATGCGTAGGACATAATAGGTCGTACGCAGGTCTTATATAATAATAATTTGTGCCTTAAGGGCATTTTACTTTTAGCGTTAGTTAAATTGTGTAGCCGGCCGGAGACGAACGCGGCTCTATTACGAACGTTATTAATGTGCGTAGTAAATGACATACGCGAGTCGAAAGTGACTCCTAACTAGAGGGCTGGTTGGCTGGTTTATTCGGCATGCGAATGCCGATAACCGTGGCTTCTTTCCAGTCGTCGGGAAAGGAGCAACTGGAGAGTAAAGTGTTGTAAATGGTCGCCAGTAAACAGATAAGCGGCCCAGGGAGAGCTTTAAGAATTTTTTTACTGATATTATCTGGGCCCGGGGCGGATTTCGGTTTTAGATTTTTAATAATATCTTGGAAAAATTACATTATTAAACATTAGATTAGTGATATAGATGACCTTTTTACAGACACTAAGTAGTGAGCTTCTAGTGATCATATTTCTGGACAAACTTTCTTTTACCAAGTACAAAAGTTTATAATAAGCTTATAAGTTTTTTTACATAATTTTTTTTGTTACGATACAATCTACAGCGTGTCGTTACCATCGCGACAATAAATGAACACACGTCTTACGCTACTTGCCAATAATCATAAAAAAATATTAACGTTAAACAAAATCCATAATTAAAAAAAAATATTTTTCAAACAAACTAATTAAGTAAAAAAGAAACAAAATTTGTAACACCCTATACAACTCGCGCCGCAGCGCCGTATTACAAGCCTCTCCTTCTAACAGTACGTTTTGTCTCTTTTAAATTCATTCAACCCATTCATATGCTTTGTGACCTTTACAAATGAATTTACGTTACGCTTTTATAGGTAAGGGTGTTCTAAAATTCTTTGTTTTGGAAAATTTAATAACTCTGTAAATATTGATGTTTAAAGAATTTAAATGTTTAATACAACTTTAAAAAGCTATCCACTATATGTGTGTTCATTTATTGTCGCGATGGTAACGACACGCTGTATATCCATCAATGGCTACTTCAAGATTTCAATCGTATTCGAATGTCGAAATGCGATACCTTCAGGCCTTCAGGGCTTGAATACAACAACTGTCACTTTGTTAAAATCTATGATATTTATTTGCTGACCACATCAATAAGGTGACAACTTTATACAGATTTTAAAAATATACGTAAATTATTTGATGATGAGTATGTATAATACCCTCGCATTAAATCCTTCTTATTAGTACCGTCAAACGATTATCGATAACATGGTATGCGATCTAACTTTAAGCGTATTTACCGTAAGTGAAAACATGTTTGTAGTGTTTTCACTTGTTTTCATCTGATGGCTTGGATGGATTCTCGATGATAAATATGCAAAGCATTCCTCGTAGCTCCGTCATTTACGTTTACGTATAGTCTAATAACACGTAGGGGAGAGAATGCAAGTTTTTTGTTTATGTGAGAAGGTGGCAAGATGGCGGCTCACGTGCTGATAACTGATAATCGCCGCTCATGGACATTTGGAATACCCGTAGGGTTGCAAATGCTTTGCCAACTTTTAATAAAGTGAGCCCCGGCTACCTCACTCATGAAAAGTCAGAATGACACATTCCCTTCACGCCAGCCTTCTGTGAGGTTGTGGTTGTGGTTGTGGACGAACTTGCCCAATCGTGCAACAGCCGAAGCTGTTTCGTGGCCCTACCACAGCTATATGAAATTATTAATATAATATGTTAGTGATTATCTCATAAGTTTGTTTGTTATGTCAATAACATTATAAAAAAAATTTAAATAATATATAAATAACATTATCCCATGTTGTAAGGACTTTTAACATACATAAATTACCCATAGGCAAAAATCCAGATCCAGAAAAATTATCTGTGGGTTACACAAATACTTGTCCCCCATAGAAATCGAACCCATGAACTTGCCGAATACAAGGCGCGCTTGCCAATACCTTGGCAACTGCGCCAACTGCGCCATCAGAACACAGAAATGTGTGTAAAATTTTTATGAATAGCTAAAATAAGAAATTTATTTCAAAAAAACATTTTAGCTAGTTTATAAAATCATAATCACACATTCATCACATGTTAAATCATTCTGAAACATATTGTTAAGGCAGTTTGTCTTATTTTCTTTAACTTACAGTTATTAAATGCAATTAAGTACTGAGGTAGCTCATTGTTTAGAAACTTACTTCTAAAATCTGTACTTGGACAACCTGAGTTCTAATTTCAATAAATGCATGAATGTTGTTAATTGCAGTTTTTATGGTGACTTACCATTAATTTTTAGTTCTAGGGCAACATTGCGAGGAAACTTTAAAATCTAAGTAAAAAAAATATATTTTGATTTATTAAATTAAACTAGTTTACGGATTTCATTGTGTTATAACACATAATACAAGCTCAATTAAAAACAAGCTTGAGCACCAAGTAGTAATATTGAAAGTCATAATTTCTCCTAATACTCACCTGAAGATATCTCTGTGATCTCATTGTCGCTCAGATTCAGTCTTTTAAGGCTTTGCAATGTGTATAGTGCATCTGGTACTTTGGTCAATGCATTTTTTGAAAGATCCACATCCGAAAGATTGCAGAGAGTGTCGAGGGATGTTGGTAGATTGGCCAGCGTTCTCTGTGTATTACGCATGTGCAATGTCTCTAGGCTTTGAAGTGAGGGCAATTGTCTATAAAAAAAGAAATAGCACAGAAATCAATATCTGGTCTAGGAAGTCCACACTCTCTTTCTTTGTTGCTATCCATATTGATCAGGTAGTAAATTATTTCCATTGGTTTTACATAATTCAATGTTTCTTACTTTTCTAGTCAGCCTATAACTAAAGTTTATAATAAAGCAAAACCTCACCTTAGTTGAAATAGTCCTAAGGGATTGTCGTTAAGTATTAGGGTCTGAAGATTCGCCAGCCTTCTAGTTTGAGGGGGAAGAGTCTCCAGTAAATTATTGGAGAGATCAAGGAACAATAAATCTGTTAACTGTACAAACAGAGTTGGTGGGATACTCTCAATTCTGAAATGTAAAGAAAATGTTATATAATAGGTAACAATAATGTAGGGCCATGCTGTTATATGAATGGGAAGTCCATTCAGAGAAGTACCACAATCTCACAGAAGACCGATGTGAAGTGGAAGTGTTATCATTCTGCATTGCATCTGGTCAGTGAGGTAGCCAGGGTTTTAGTATTTCTTAAAGACAAATAAAATATTTTTTTTTCCTTTAAAATGGTTTATTTAAAAACATAACTAATATTACATACTTGTTATGACTGAGGTTCAAAACCAACAATGATTTAGCTTTGTCAAGACCTTCTGGCACTTCCTTAAGTCGATTATGCGACAAGTCAAGAGTTGTGAGCTCCTCAAGCTTAAATAGCTCTGCAGGAATCCCAGAGCTTTTGACATTATTGTGCCTTACATTCAATGAGCGTAAGCACTTCAGTTCAGTAAGCTCACCAAATAACTTTTCCAAATTATTCTTTTTTAAAGATAAATTTTCCTGCAATATGTAACAAATGTCAATAATTTCTATAAAATTACTTGCATTATAATTTAATATATGTAAGCAAACCAATAAAGTGATTGTAATAAACATTTTCATTTCCTTTATATAAAGGCAAACATAAAGAACAGACAGAGCCTATTCCACATCCCACATCATAGGATCCCATCACAAATTTTTAAACATCAGAAACAGTCAGAAACTTATAAAAGCCAATGAATATCAAATTTTAACACTGAAAAATTTTAATTGGAACTGGTTTTATCATACTTAACAGTAATTTTAGGATCAAAAATCAACCATTGAGCGTAGGCATGAAATTGGAAAGTAAATACTCTATAGCAAATAAAATAAATAAACTCACCAATTTCATAAGCTTTCCCAATTCTTCTGGTATATCTGCTAAATTTGTTTTATCAAGCCTTAGCCACTGAAGTCCGGTCATATAACGAATAGCATCGGGGAATTTGTCACCCTAAAATTTTAGAAACATTTAGACCACAATACTAAGGTTAGTAAGTTAAATGTTATATTATTCATAAAGAAAGTATATCGATAGATACTTACACTGAAGTCATTACAAGTAAAATCAACTCCTCGAACAAAAGGCAAAAGGCCTGTATTTGCCATATTTTAAATGTTCACATTAAAAATAAAAACCATTAGTTTCGTTTCGCTTTCGTTACGATTATGACAATCGACTATGCATGCATGTCAATGTCAAAATTTGTCAAAAATGACATAATCAGTTACGGCAATCGTCGCAAACTTACTGCCGAGTGCCAAGAATTCGTAACAACAAAATTACGAATAAGTTAAAAAAATACTTATTGTGAATTATTAAACCTTTTTTCATAAAGCTTAGTTTTCTTCTTTTTCTTTTGTTTTTTGGGAGTTTTCAATTAATACACCAATGATCAATGTTAATTCGCAAACACTCAAAGGTTAGTCTGTAAGTCCGGTGGCTTTGATTTAAAAACTTAATTGGAAAAAATCCACGGGAAGAATATTATTGATGTGATGGCAATCAGGACAGAACAAAGAAACAGTACAAGGGCTTGATTAAGCCATCCGCTTGCCACCGTCTCCGCGATGTCTGTTGAAGAGAGATAGACAATTCGATTAACATAAGGCATGATACGATATGATGCTTTGTATAAATAAACTTTGCGTCTAGACTAGATACGCTCCTGAAGAGTGTCAGACATTACCTACTACGCCTAATGGCTATAATAGAGTTAAAGAGCATATAAAAAAGATATGGAACATCCGATGATGATTGTGCCGTTCATTCTACTTTAAGTATATATTTGCATTTAACCACTTTTCTATCCTAGAAATATTTTAATTACTGGTGATCCCTTTTTTTCGTGGAAAAATCCTTTATGGATCCCTGACATTGGATAGGGGGTGTGGCAAGGGTATGTAGGCGTCCCAGTAAGAAACAGGTACCCGCCTAAAAACCCACGTTGCATCTCTCTCTGTCGCATTGGACACGGGGACACGTAGATGCAATCTTCCACGACCCCGGCGTGACTATGTCCTTTTTAGGTCTCCTCTACTACAAGGTGCTATACCGGTACTATTCGCACAGCACACGTCACAAGCCCCATATTGAGCGACAAACACCCCGGCAGTTAGTCTTCGCAATCCCATACAACAGACATGATTTTTGCCGGTTTTATAGATAATAGAATATACATATGTATAGAACCCTTCGTACGTGAGTCCGACTTGCACTTGGGCGGTTTTGTAATATTATTATTTATTTTGTAATTCTGCTGTTTTTTATTATGTGAACATTTTTTAAATTTTGCACAAAGACACTACGTGCGGGTACGGAATTTGGATAATAGCTAATCCTGAAGGTCCTGATCAAGATAATGAAAATTCTTTAAATTATTGCATTGTAATGGGTCTTTGACGATTGAGCAGTTTGATTCAAATCTGATCGTTTAAGTGGAGCAAAATCATGTTTAAAGATTTCGTTACATTCACACATACATACATACGGGTGAAACTAATATAAGCATGTTAAAAATGGCGAAACCAACACACCGCATACACTAAGTAGATCAGTTGTCTGGGGCGGGGCAGTTCTCAGCGTTCCCAACCATGGAAGCTATTGTTGAATGAGTTAACATTCGATACTCCTCAATGCCACGTTCCGAATACCCGACTTTTAGGGCTCTTTTGCGGCAATCTTCACCTTCATGTCCACACTACTACTAGCGAGGGTCTATACTATATCAAACTCGTGAAAAATTGGCTCTGCACGAGTCTGCGACCGACGAAGCTTAATATAGTCTCTCTAGACTTATAGTATAACGTCCGTCATTCTCGGTGGCCGGGCTACGCAACTTCGTTGCGTATCCCGGTACACTCGCTATTGCACGAATGGGCAGGTCCATCCGGGTAAATACCACGACCTCAAAGAAGACCGACGTGAAGTAGAAGTATTATATTTACCGGTTTTCTCTGGTAAGGTAGCCGGGGCCCATTTTATTAAAAAGTGCCAACGCATGTGCAACCCTATGGGTGTTGCTAATATAAATATGGGCGGCGGTTATTGCTTAATATCAGGTGAACTGACAGCTCTCTCTCTCTCATAAAAAAAAGTCATAAAACATTCATCACAAGATACAGGACATAATATTACTGCATTTAGAAACTTTAAGTATATGATTTATTTTGGAAGGTTATTTACTGTTTAGATGAACCATAAAGTAAGGTATATAAACAGTACTTCTGAATAATATAACAGGGATTTTTTTTAACAAATCCCACACCATTGTATTTACATTAAGTCAAAACATATCATAATTAAAAGGCCTATAGATTTACCATCAAGATCTATGTGAAGTTGTGAAATTCTCACTGCCCAACAAAAGCAAACCTTGTCTCCTAAAAATTTGATAGATTTTCATCTTATAAAATGATATAAGAGAATTTTTTTTTGCTACAATCTGAGCGCCAAACTACATTGAGTTTGACGCTCAGATTGTAGCAAGATAAATACATGATTACTAGACTGATTATTTAAATTATAATTTCAACTAAAAACAAATGAACTGTTAAATGCTATATTTTTAAAATTATTGTTGTTATTGTATAGTAAACAATAGGAAACAATAACTCATTTCAAAAACAAAAGACAAGTTAACTATGATCTGCTGTCATTTTCTTGACATTTAAAAAAAATATATTTAATTATCACACAAAACAGTCTTAACTAATAAGGCTGATATGTTCAATACATAAGTAAAATTGCAATACATAATTAACAACAACATAATGATGATGCTAAAATATGTCACCATAATATATCATGATGAAATAATTTTGCATTATATAAAAATAACAATTTTCAGTTTATATTTACTTTAAACTTTTACTGCCTAGAATGGATTCAAAATATCAAGCAATTCAATATATAATAATAACAATCTACAACAAAAAATCATAAAAACTAAACAAGAGAAAAATATCATACTAATAATAATATCTCAGGATATTTTTTGTTACCTATTTATTTTAACTAACAAACTAAAGTTAAAGCATAAAACATTCAGAGAATTCTTTCACATTTGTGTTATAAATGAATTTAATAATTGAACTCTTGAATGATATTTTGTTTTTGGTCTATCGTGGCATTGGTGGCATGTTTGGCATAGGTCCTGACATTGCTGTGTTAGTCCCAAGTAAGACCTGGAATTGTAAAATTCACATGATTAAAATTTAAAGTAACAACTATATGTTTAAAGTTAAACCATTGTTTCTCATTTCAATTACCTGTTTCTGTTGTGACTTTTGCATTTCTTCAACTTGTGCTCTTTCCACTTCAAATATCACTGGTGCAAAAAGAATAACCGATGAACTAGCCAATACCCACATCACTGAACGGGACAACCCATAAAGAGATTTTACTCCAGTCCTAAAGAGAAATATAAATTTCACATTTTATAAAATAAGCCAATTTATCATATTATTTATAAAATCTTATTATTTAATTTCTAGTTATCTATGTAAGTGTGCTATGTGCTATACATGGCCCACTGCTGAAAAAAGGCCTCCTGTTTGGTAATGGACAGTTTGTCAGATAGCCCTCTTCATAGTTTGATGGACATTTTATATCCTTGATATATTTTTAGGGTTCCAGACCCAAAGGTCTAAGTACTATTTCTAAGACTCCACTGTTTGCCTGTCCATCTGTCACCAGCTGTATCTCATGAACTGTGATAGTTAGTTGTTTTTAATTTTTGTTGTGAAATTTCCATGGATTATGTATTACTGTTGCCGCTATAACAACAAATACTAAGAAACAATAAAAAAGTATTAAGTGGGCCTCCCATACAACAGACATGATTATTTTTGCAGCTTTTTTAGATAATGGTACAGAATCCTTTATGCGCGAGTCCAACTTGCACTTGGCCAGTTTATACTTATGATGGCTTTTTGAATAAGCAGATTTTCCCATAATATTTTCAGACACTGCCAAGTATGTTGTAAACAACAAATAAAATTGCAACATTTTGATGCAATTTTATGTGCAATCTAGTTGCTTACAGAACTCAATTGTAATCACTTAATACATTATAAATTCATTAACAGTTATGTTAATGAATTATGTTATTACAGTTGAGTTATGTTTAATATATGAAATTGAATTGGAACTGTACTAAAATGTAAAAGCAATAATAATAAACATGAAGCTAACATATTTAAGGATTTTATGTACTTGAACTGTTAGTTTATTTGAACAGAATTTAAAATTTACTAAAAAAAAATTATATTTACCAAGTTTTGGTAGTGACGGTGTAAGTACCACTTCGCACACAGTCAGGAAACATCTCTGTCAAACCCCACAATCTTTCTGAAAGAGTTTCATCTGGTTCCTAAAATGAGAAAAACATGGCACAGTGTTATTCGAAAGACTCGCCCATTCACAAAAGTTAATGAAATTATGACCAGTAAGTTTGATGTTTCATGAGAGTAAGAAAAATTATATGGTGGAGGAAGTCTAATGTCAATTTACATTACAATAGTAGCCTTTCGATTTCTATCACAAAAACTAAATTCTAAAAACAGACATATTTACATCGTCATATTCCTTAAGAGGTCCAGCTGTGGGGGAAACAGCCGAAGGTGAAGTTCCGAGCTGGAATGAAAGATGGTCTTTCAATAAAATAAAATTATCGAAATCCTAAGCTGCTTTCCAAATTTGGCATTTATTTCATACCACTGGAGTAATAAACGTATCTTCGGGTCTACGCTCTGGAGTGTCATCTTTACTGGCTGTCAACGATTCCATACCGCTATCGTTCTGCTCCGGATCGTAGGTTAAATCCATAAACATGTTATGGATTATATTTTAAATACCTTATGTACAACCAAATAATCCTTTACCAGTATTACCTCGTGCTAAGGAGGTATTCAGAAAACGCGTAAAGTAGGATGTCGAATCGAATCTATGCTACAAATACAAAACGTCACGTTTACTTCACAGACAAAGCAAACAATAATCTATTTCAATATAAAAAAAAAAAACAAAACCTAAATAGTCACATTAAATTAATTTTAAAATATGTTAATGTTATATTATAATGTTAATTATACACAAAATTTAATGACCGAAGTACGGAGAAGAGAAATGTAACATGTTTAAATAATTAATAATTGACTCTCGGACAACACGTACCATTAATTAACAAACACATTGGTTCAGCGTCCTGATGTTGCGTTGCTTGCGAGTTTCCCGATTCGCAGCCTACATCCAATATACCCGTGTGCTAGGCCGTTTTTAAATCACTTATGTCGCGTAATTAATTAGGATTTTTCCCCCAAACTTTATTGTTTCCGCGAGTTGATTATTTTCTTGAATCTTGTGTTGTCGTAAATTATAAGTTCTCGTTAATGATTGTTTTTGTAAATTAAACGTTTCAGTGATTTAATTTTTGTAACAGATTATTCGACATTATGATATCTCTTGATTATTCGTAAATCGCAATTTTGACATTTTTAGTACCTATCAATAGGCTTAACTATGATGTCTACCGTTATGTATCGTGATGTATCGATAGACTATCGATGGCGGCACAAGCGGTGGTTTGATTCTGAGGGACCGTTTCATGCACTCCTTCCTTCTCGGTAGTCAAAATGTAGACGCAATCATGGTATTGTGGTCGTGCAAAACTTACGTTATTTCTCCTGTCCAATCCAATAGCCTTTTCCCTTAAAATTAGTCGTTAAATAACCTAGCGTTGTAAAATCTACAATAAATGGATAGTTCCAAAATATGCACGTGATCCAAGAATAATTCTAGTTTTTTAGATTTAGCGTCTTTAAATACACTGCGAAAGCATCCAACAACATCCGCCTGAGCACGCCTCGGAGAAGGATAAACCTTCTCAGATTCCCTCACCCCCTTGGAGCAGCACAAAGAGATGATTTTACTCGCCTTTTACGACAGGCAGGGGCTACCTTAACCCTATTCTATGAGCCCGAGATTACAGGGCTGGCCTTCAAATAACCTAGCGTAGCAACATCTACAATAAATGGATAGTTCCAAAATATATATATGATGCGAGAATAATTCTTGAGATTTAACGTCTTTACAGACACTACATATATGCGAAGGTACAGATATGGATGAGGTGACAATGGTTTACCATAGTTTTAGAAACTGAAATAATGATCATCCCTGCCTACTCTTTTGGGTGACGGAAGTAATTGTTAATACATGTGGTATTGAAAATTTTTATGGTAAAAAGTAGAATAATAAATGTATTATTCTGCTGCTGCTTAACTGGAGCAGATGCATTCATATTTTTATGTCATTATTTGGTTAGCATTAAGTGCATAGTACGAAAAGTTGAATGCTTATATATTACCTGGCATTGACTAGGCGAACAGCATAGAGCAGAAGTTTCTATCGGCATTCTAAGACGTAAGAACAAAATAACATTTCTTTAGATGTTCTATCCTAAATAGACATTAATTAGATTTTTGATGACTGACGTCAGTGCTTAACGGTTTTGCTCGTTAATGTTTTTTTCTGTTCATAAGAAATACAAAGCATTTTTAATTAAAGTCTTGATTGCCAGTTCAGTACAAAAGAATTGCGCTAAATGTAATGTATTACCTTTTATATTTGTTACATATATTTAAGGTGATTAATGTGTTCATAATTACAAACTTGGATTTTTATTTTAATAATTTAACTTTAATATTTAATAAGTTAAAGAAACTCAAACATATGAATACTAATAACTAATAATAATAACATAGTTTGAACGTAACAAGGCATAGTTTGAAGTAATTAATTTAATGGATTAACAAAATTATATCATCTGTGACGATAAGTAAGTGACATTGAAAATTTATAATCTGTCTTTCTTATTTCTTAGAGACTGGCTGGTAGCCTTACTGAAATTTTTGTAATTGAACATTCGTGAAATTCAGACAAAGTAAAGATTTTATCGATTAACTTTGTCTGTTTCTCTAAAAACTAGTTTATCTTTGATAAAGAATAGTCACATAGTTTTTTTTTATAAAATATTTTCCGTATTCTGCCTAATGAGGGTGTAGTCTTTCACTTTTAGTTTTCCCGATTCTTTATTTAGGTATTTTTGTTCTTGTTTAAATTTAAAAAAAACGCGAGTGTGTGAGATTTCAGTTGATCGATCCAATATTAATAATCTTGCATTTAAGTGAACTAAACTCGAGTAAAATCAGCTATAAGGTAAGTAAAATATTTATAAATTACGTACCCAGGCATAATATTAATTTATAAGCGACTTTCGGTAATTTTTTGACTTATTAAAAGACCTGTATACATGTATAATATGCATAAATGTTGGCCATTGGCCTTGGTATATAACAAATAACAGTACATATAACAGTTTGCGTATATAATATACAATACTACCAAATCTACCTTGTCTATCCATCATTCTCACCTTATGGCAAAAAAATCTTCCCAGTAGGAGGATACTTTTATTATAATCGAATCGAAATATTCCTAAGGTAATAATTAATATTATGGACACATATGTTTTGCAATAACAAATATTTTTGGTAAATGTAAATAACTTTAACTCCTCCGTAATTCAATTAAAATTAATTTTAAACGATAGAGAAAAATCTCTAATAAATTAATGAACAAGCAGAATTCGGCGGTCGCTTATAGTTTTCGAGAAAAAAAAATATTTAAAACTTGTTTTTTGTACTAAGAAATCCACCATTTTATTTGTTTCACTTCAAAAACTCAATACACAGTTCTGCCAACATGATAAATATAGGAAGCGGGCGACATCATACACGTGTCGATATTCCGTTTTTTTTTTAATTTAATGAGTCACAGAACCGACACAGAGCGCATCCGACTCGGATAGATTAGGTTAGAAGGTTCAGATGCCTTAACCTTCGATGTTAGGTTTTTTTTATGACCACCAAGAAATACGAGTTGACATATTGACAACAATAAATGGCGGATTTCTATAGTAAAAATCACACTATTTCATTATTTATTTTTTCGAAAACTATAAGCGACCGCCGAATTCTGCTTGTTGATAAATTCAAGAGTGATTTTTCTCTATTGTTTAAAATTTATTTGATTTGAATTACGCCGGAGTTAAAGTTATTTACATTTACCATAATTTTAATCAATAGAAAACTGTATTTTGTGTGGATGGGGTAAGGTAGTAAGTTTCAATGACCAAAAACAGTATGTAAAGTCAATGACAACAGTATGCTCTGCCTGGAATCAATGGTGCTGTAATGAGTATGTTAACAATGAATTTAAATTTATTAAAGAGAACATCTTGTATAATGTGTAAGCAGAACTGTTTATTCGTTAATAGAATAACATTTTCTTCCCAATTCAATTTTTGTCAATTACTACAACTAGAAATTTTGTAATTTCCGAATCTTGAATATAATTTCCATCGTAATTAATGTTTCTTCTTCTTCTTCTTTTCTTTTTTGGCGGTTTTCAATGAATACGCCAATGAACACTTCTGGTTGTTTATTTTTGCCTAACTTTTATAATGAAATGATGAAGAGAATGATTTTATGAATGTTAAATATGTATATTTTTATATATAGAATATCTAAACAAATTTACATAATTATAGCAATTACCTAGAACAAAGAAAATAAGATTGTAATTATTATGCTAAGTTCACAACTTAATATTACAACTATTAATAAAATTACATAAGATATAAACAAATGAAGAATTAACATATGTTAAAAGGTTATTGATATTAGATGGACGAGGGATGCTAGAAGGAAGATGATCATGGAAGGAACCTGGAATTCTGGGACAGTTGAAAAATATATGATCAGGTGAATCATCATCTAGGCCACATTCACAGATGAAACTATCTTTTATTCTTAATTTGGCAAGATGAACATTAGTGCAGACATGCCCTAGTCTAAGTCTGCAGACAATAGAGGTGGCATGCTTATTGGCTTTAGGAAAATTAAAGAACCATGGTTTGGTTGGAATATCAGGTTGGATTGATGCATAGTGTTTCCCTCTCTCTCTACTAGATTTCTTCCAGAGCTCATACCAAACACAGTTTGATCTGATTTTAGCATATGATAATAAATCATGAGAGAAACAAGTATATTGGGATAGGGAGCCAGTTTTAATTGCTTCCTTGGCACAATGGTCAGCAATTTCATTTCCTTGAATATCACTGTGCCCAGGAATCCAAGCTAGAGAAATCAATATTCCTTTCATATGACACCTGTAAAGAGCGGCTCTAATCTTGTAAATTAAGGAGAAATTAAGTTTGTAACGGAAGAGATTAGCTAAAATGGCTTGCAAACAGCTTTTAGAATCTGTGAAAATGATAGTTTTATTGTAAGTCATGAGATTCTGCAAATAGGATAGCCTCAAGTATAGCTGTAGCCTCACCAGTAAAAAACTGAGCTATAGGGCGGGCATTTAAAATTAAGTATTATTTTATACTTGGGAAACCATACTGCAGCTCCAACACACCCCAACTGAGACATTTTGGAAGCATCTGTGTACATTATATGCCAATCTTTCCAAAACTTATCAAGAGCTAGTTTCAACTGTAATGGAGCCAATCTAGAATTTTTCAATTCCAATATCAAGTAAAACACTAGGTTGATATACCAGCCCTTCATAAGGGGTATCATATAAAGGATTCATTTTGCATTGGTATATAGGACAGGGTAATTGCAGAAAATTGAGAAAACTATTAAATAGACAGGGAGAATTTTTTTTAGTCCAATAGCCTCCTGTTGATATATATTCAGAAAGTAAATGGAGTTTGGCAATGAGAGGGTGATTATAATTTTGCAATGCCTTGTAGA